ACTTCGCCATTTTACTCTCTAGTTTCGGAATTTGCCGATGTAGAGCAAGGTTTTTCACGTCTGAAATTGTTTTTTTTATTAAATTGGAGAAGGTAAATTTTTTCGGTAATGAAATCTTTATTCATGAAAGGGACACATTCCGCAGTGAAGTGACCCCATCGGGACTTTCAAGGTTTACTGATTGCATTTTGTTCTCACCAGAGCTTGCCTTTGCTTATTGGTCCTCCTTCTTTTGATTTTTGGGCCATTCATGTGATCGTTTTTTGTCGTGTGACCAAGAAGTGTGTGATTTCAACAATCGACCTTTTCTGAACCTTTTGTTGAATTTTCGTGACACTCTCGGCAATAGAGGCACGTATGAACAATTTATAACGCGGATATGCCGAAAAACCTGTTTGCACGTGTTGATGAAAATGTGTTTTAAAGATTAATGATCATTTTACGAGTGTCTTTGTGTCGATGGTTTTTTAAGACCGTGTCCCCCTCTTTTCCGTTAATCGTATTCCAACACCTGGAATGGTTTTTTTGTTTGCTTGATTTTTTTTAGCAGAACATGCTAATTGTAAGTGCATTCTTCGGGAGACGTACAATTTTGAATGTTCCAAATTCCCGCGGTGGTACTTCGCAATTCGACCCTAATCCGTTGCCGAACTAGAGCCGAATTGTGAAGCGGTCGAATTGCGAGGCACTTCGCAAAATTTGAAAATATCAGTACAGTACGAAAACGCAAAAAAAGTGGCCACGGGCACGGGTCGAATTAAAAGTCGACTTCCATGTAAATTACGACCGTCGAATTGCGAGGTACTGTACTACCTATTTGATCACCATAATCTTGATTGGTAAATGTTGTGTTTCTACGGTATTTTATTGAACAAGGTTGGTTTATTCGAGCGCTCACTCAAATATATTTTCGAAAAATCTCATTTACTTCGCTCAAGATGGTGGAATAAACATTTCATCTGCACTTTTGTTGTTGAATTCTCGAGTAACGACTTTTTTCGGTATTCTTGAAAATTGGCGAAGCCATGTGGGCGTGTTTTGTCAATGTTCCCGTAGTTCGTAGAGTATTATGCGTAACCAACGAAAGAATGTGCACTATATATGTACAGTACTACCTGGAGGCATTCTGATTATGTTCGATCATCTTAAAATCTCTGCTCATTTTGGGTTAATTTTACCTCGGAGTCATTTCAGGGAACTGTGTCTTCTTTTCGCATTAATTCTGAGAATTGCTCGAGTCACTGTACGAACTTCGGTCCGAATGAATTGCGAAAATGTGGGCAAATCTTTACTCTGAAAAGAACAAAAGTAAATTTTTGCTAGTGATGGAAATATTTTAAAGTGCAATTTTCCCTCTCGGTCTCGGAAATAGTGGGGTTTAGGTTCTATCGCGTCTTTTTTTTATATGTGTCCTGTTGAAAGCATGTGGCACTAGAAAGGTTCAGTGTTGTGAAAACTTTCATGACAGTACAGGTTTCCAGAAAAATAAACACACTATAAATCGCATTAGGCACAGTTTTCTTTATCGGCAGTAATTTCATTGCAAGATGGGATGCCATGAAATGAATTGATCCGAAAAATGTTCCCTGCTTAAAAAATGAATAATTTTTCTTCAGTAGCTGGTTTTCAGAATCTGTTCGGGCTATTCGTTCGTGACTCAATAACAACTAGAAAATTGTAACCGCAATTGGTAACCCTGTATAATTCTCTCTGAGCGAGAAACAATTCCGAGAAGTGAGCAGATCGGGTTTTCTTACTCCTTGTTCTGCGATGAGCAGTTGAAGTCCCAGGTGTATTTCGAAAGGTCATGGGTTTCTCTCTGGAGCCGTCTAAAAACCTACTGACTTGTTTGTACAGTACATGTGAACGTCTTCTAACTGTAATCTACCGCAGTATCGTCGTCCCTCAATGTTTTTTTTTCTTTCTTTCCTGTTCTCATGCGGCGCACCGTAAGAATTCCTTACGGCTGGTTGTAAAATTCCCAGAGCCGCAGCAAGGAACTGTTCCTCGAAATGATTGAATGGGGCTGGGGGAAATGGGCGGGAAAAAGGCGAGACTCGGGTAGAGGTCGTTAATAATGTAGGAGGAAGGTTGGAAAAGGGGGATAGAAAGAAAAAAAAAAGGCGGGCTTGAGAAGGTGCATGTGTGCATGCATGCATTTCATGGCTATGGGGAGGATAAGAAGAGTTGATCAAAGGGCGCGAAAGCAATGAAATCCGACTGGCGGGGGGAAACTTGCGTGGCAGGAGAATCGATGGTCAGATGACCGGGTTTATTCTCGGATTATGCAACAGGTTTCGATATATCTGTCTTCATTTCTTATGGCATCCACACGCGTACTCACGTTTTTATTCATTTATATATTTGTCGAAACTTCTTCGAACGTAAAGTTTCATTACCTGATTTGCAACTGTATTTACTCGAGTATATCGCGCGCCATGGAGTATTTTTCAGCACATGATTCTTGAAGACATTCTATCCCCCAGTAAAACACGCACCCTATTTATAGCCTAGGGGCCGACAAATAGAAATACAGTGAGACCCCCACATGCGGACACATCGAGATAGGGACACTCCTTTTTCAATTAAAAATCATTATAAAGGCCCGAGATAGGGACACTGACTCAACATGAGGACATTATATGATAAAATTGGCAATACATTTTAGGAAAATTGGCTTTTATTGAGCTTAATTGCAAGAAACAGATATTCCAACCCTAAGATCTATGCAAGAAAAATTCTTTGGTACTTTTCCCATCCATTCAGCTGATTAAAAAAATTACCTATTGCACAGTGGGACTTGCTTCTCTCTTTGTGATTGGGGTGGTTTTTTTTTTTTTTACAGATGCCATTTCATTGAACTGTACTGTGGTATACTATTCAACGCTCCTAATGTTCTTATTGTGTTGAAAATATATTTACTGAATAAAATTCAAGTGGCAGAACATTTTTTTTCATGGAATTCTGGAGATTATTTCTTCCATAAAAGACCAATTAAAAATGATACCATGTAAGTCTATGGGAAAACAAGACTCAACTTTGGGACAATTCAACTCAGGGACACTCTTGATGCACCAATTATGTCCGCATCTGAGGGTCTCATTGTATTGTACCTTAATAACTTGCCCTTCCCAAAGTCGCAAATTTTTTTCAAGTTCTTCATCTGAATTCCCGTAGAAAATTTGCATTGAAAACCTTCACAACTGGTATGTTTTCCTCCTGAGACCTCTATGAGTCGAATTTTCTGGAGGCCTATTGGTTATTTTTCTATTGACAAATGAAAGAGAGAAGCAATAAAAATGTAACTTGATGCGTTTAAACAATAAGTGAAAGACCAATTGGACAGATTAACTCTTGTCTCTAAGTTCAGCATCTTTTCGCCTCATTTGAAAAGTAATCGAAGACCCCGAATGTGAAAAACTTCAATTTCCTGAAATTATTTTTTCGTTTCTCCAAAAAAAATGTGTTTTTTTAATTGGGAACGACCTTAAGATGATTTTTTTCGCTAGTCTTTTCAAGTTTGACCGAGAGGTTAATCTGTATTCAGAGAGTGAGAGACATCAGAATTTTTAATTTCGACATCCTTTCATCCTAAATTCAAATAATTTTCAATGGTTTTGATTAAAAAGCTTTTTCTGTTAGAATCGGTCAAAATGTTCCCCACAAAATCAAGTATGACGCGCACCCTCCCTTCTTTCTCCCGATTTTGAGGAAAACAAGTGCGGGTGGCATTTGAGCAAATACATGGTGACCATTTAGTAAGCACAAATCTGGCAAAAATGTTTCGGGACTGTAAAGGACGGCATCTTGAGATATACTGTATATTGAGGGGTTTCTTTGACATCCTACGAGCATTTTCGAAGAAACAAATATGAGAAAGCGTACTGATTAGTAAACCCTGTGATGGAAAAATTACCCACATTTGAGGGAGGATCGCGAAGGACCGATTTAGTCCCATTTTGTATAAGTCGGACCTTTTCTTTCTATTGATTTCCTTTTTCAGGAGTCATTTTCGACTTTGGGAATTACCCTGATTAATTTGTCATTTGTGGCGTGCAGTGTACGCGAAAATGCCAACTTTACGAAGAAGCAAAATTTATCTTACAAGAGGGCAAATTTTTTAAAATTTCCTTTCTTTTCTACGTGTTCTGTATGGTACATTATATTCTGTCGCATATTTTTGTACAGTATTTCTTGATTTTTATTTTCTCCAAGGGACATTTTTCTGCCCCAACGATCTCTGGATTGTTTTCTTCGCCCTCTTATTTCTGTTACCCGACGTTTTTCTCGAGGTTGGCGTATAAACTATAAATACCTGTCTACTAATGCTTGACGAAAGCTGTCGATCATTCGGAGAAGATAATAACGCTGGCGAATTTCTCTCGGGACTATGAGGATCGCAGCCCTTTCGTATGCATCCAATTTTGTTTTCACTGCAGTTGAATTGGTCATTATTTGCGCACTCCCAAACAATTAATGAACGGTGCGCCTCCCAAGTACAGTACCGTTCATTACTAGGCGGCGGCAGTGAAAGCTAATTTTGGAAGCATCAGTTGAATTTTGGCCTATCGGAATGCAGCACCTGCGTCTCTCTTTCTTTTTTCAAGTTGCTGATGCATAAATGAGAATATTGTACGCGGAAATGCCGAGTTTTACGGAGAAGTAAAGTATATTTTAGCGAAGCGCAATTTTTTGCTCTTGTCACATTTTTTTTCAAACAAACTACCAAAATAGATATTTTTTGCGCCGGTGAATTTTTGCCTCACCCCCGTATATCAGATGAATGTCAATTCGCTCGACGGAAACGCCATCGAAGTTCATTTTATTCGTTCTGTTTGTATAAATGAGGATAACTGAAAGCTGCGAGAAAGTGGAGTGAAATTTTCAGTGAGCGCACATGAGAAAAATTCATTTTTTTTTATTTTGGTGCTCTTTTTGAAAAAAAAAATAAAAGATTCTGTGTAGAGTCAGAGGATCACTTGAGTTGTTGTTGATATTCCATGCGCGTGTCAGCGTTGAAATCATTCGTTAATTCAAGCGTGAATTCTTTTTCTTTTGTCGATTTGGTGAGTGTTCATATTGTTGGAGTTTAAGAAACAATTCATGGAGAACCTCGCTAACTCTAAGGCTTTCCCCCTTCAAACCCTCTGCAAATCGAATTTTGGAGGCTTTTTTGGCATTTATTTTATTGACGCGGAGAAGAGAAAAGCAATGAAAATTTCAACTCGATACGTTTTGAAAGGAGGTGAAGGACGAATCGGGCTGAACTTGAACCCTTAGCCTCATTCATTTTCAGCGTCCTCTCAACTCATTTAAAAAGTTGTGTAAGGCCCAGAATATCACCAATATCCTGAAATTCTTGCTTCCCTACAACGAAAGTACAGTGTGTGTTTCCCTTAATTAAATTTTTTGCTGGTCCCGCGAAGTTTGGTTGAGAGAGAGAGAGGTTTAATTGTGAATCAAAAGGAGAGGGACGAGAATTTGAATTCGGGCATGAACTCAACCTGAATTCTGATGATTTTCAGTTTTTTTCTGATTGAAAAGCTTTTTTCTGTCCAAAATTTCCACCAAATCTTTCTATTTCCCTAGTTCCAATACAAATGTTTTCCTGACTCGAATTTCGTTACATATCTCGTGAAATTTGACTAGGAAGAAATTCGACTTTATTTGACAGTTGAGCCTCGCTAATTCGAACCGCCCCAAGTCGAATACCTCCCTAACTCGAATTTTTTTTTCAAGTCCCTGTCTGGATTCCCTTGGAAAATATGCATTGAAAACCTCGCTAACTCGAACTATTTTCTCTCAAACCTCTTTAAGTCGATTTTTCTGAGGCCTTTTGGTCATTATTTCCTTGAAATATGAAAGAGAAAATCAATAAAAAAAATGATTTTATGCATCTTGAATTGAAATGAAAGACTGATTTAACAAATGAACCCCTGCCTTTAAGTTCAGCAAGCTGTTAACTCATTACAAGATACGTTTAGGCCCAGAATATCCTCATCTACAATTTTCCACAATTTTTTACTTTTCCTCACAGCAAAAATGTTTGTTTCCTTTACTCAAAACCTCCCTAAATCGATTTTTTTTTCTGGTCCCTAGAAGTTCGACATAGAGAGGTTCGACTGATCATTATTATTTTTTAAATACAAATCACACTTGTAAAGAGATTGTTGAAAAATTCGCTACGATTTTCTCTAGAATTGATTACTGACGTGTTTCGTTGTCATTTCCGTGTTGTGTTGCAGGATGCTGGCGTTGCTGGGCCGACATCGAGGACGTCGCCTTTGCAGCGTGCCGGTAGCCCCGTGGTGACGAGCAGCGAGCGGCCGGCGAGCCCGGGACCGACACCTGCTTCGCCGCCTTCGCCGAGATCTATGTCGCCCGTAGTTGGTAAGAGCACCTTGATTCCTTTTTGTGTCTTCTTCTTCTTTCTTGATGTTTTCGATGTAATTATTATTATTATTTTTTTAATTTATCTCTCAATTTTGAGCTCTTGTGGTTCCCCGATTAGGTGGACAACTGTTGATCCGTCGTTTGACATTTTGGTGTGGGTCAGTTACGCATTAGGGTTTAGTCTCGTGTATCGCGTTGTCATTTGGGCGCACTTGGAAGTCGGGAACTGCAGTCGGATTCCTTCCGAGTGGAATTTATTTCAGGGTCCAGCGAAAATAAAATTGTGTTGGGGTAAGATGTATTTTGTTGTGGGAAAGATGGAAGAATTGTAGGAAATTGTAGATGAAGATGATATTCTGGGTCTTGAATGAATAGACTGGATACTGAACTAAGGAGGCATGGGTTCATTCGCGCGATTACTCTTTCACTTCCTTTCAAAACATAGTTTTACTTTCTTCTTGTTTTTATCTTTTCTGTGTCGAGAAAATACAGTAATAGCCAAAAGGCCTCAGAAAATTTCGAGTCGCTGAGGTTTGAGAAGAAAAGCCTTCGATTTAGCGAAGTTTTTAAGGCATTGTTTCTATGGGAAATGAGATGTGGACTTGAAAAAAAAATTGACATGTGAGATTTGGGTTATTGAGTTTCAACTGTATTGTTTTGTAAATGCAGTGCAGTTGAACGCATTTTGAGGCCAAATGTAAAGAGGTCCGAAAAAAATTGACTTGAAGAGTTTACGATTTAGGGAATTCTGTCTTCATTTGAACAAATTAATCTAAGGGAATCATTCATAAACGTGATCAATCCACGTGGAGGGAGTTGATGAGTTACGCAACACGAAGGAACCCCAAAATACGGACGATTCGACTTACAGACGCTTGAAACTTTGAAAGAAAAAAAAACTGCCCCAACATCCAGACAATGTCTCGAGATATGGAGAATGTATCTAGAAAATGGAAAAGTGTTATTTTTCAAAATCCGAATATCCAGTATCTTGAACACATTTCACTGCACAAAAATTAAAAATAATTTTTTCTTTAATTTACTCAAATTCATGATCAAAAGCAAGCTTATTTGGTGTTACTCTTTTCGGAATTTTTTCCAACATCTGAGCACAGTACGTCAAGAATTGTTCTTGTTATTTGCTTCATGAGCTCTTTTCGATGCCAAATTATTATATTCCGTGTGGTTTTCTTCCGCACAAGTATTTTCCGTATCTTTCAAGCTAAGAAAAAAACTTTGAATTCAATTCTTGGGGACTTATTCCTACTTTCTGATCAACTGGAGAACCAATTAAATAAGTTTCTCTAATTTTCTATGGGAAAACGTGATCCTATAAAATTATACAGTACTGTACTGACGTTCCGACATACGGACAAGGACCAAGCACGAATCACGTCCGTATCTCGGTGTCCTACTGTAATTTGCAAATCTCTATCGTGGTAATAATCTCGCATTCCGTAGAGAGTTTAAGACGGAAGCAAGGTTAACGACAAGCACTATCTAGGCCAGTGGCACTTGCGCGTGAATTACGCGCCTCAAAAATCCAGACCCCAGTGCACAGTACAGTACAGTATATAACTGTACTCTACTGTACTTTCCTTCTTCCTCTCTCTCTCTCGCTCTCCACTTCCTCTCTTATTCTATTTCTCGACTCCGCCTGTCTACTGAAAAACTGTTTCTGGGTGAACGCCCCTCATAATCACGGAATAGATAAGTCTTCTCCCGCGCTCACCACGTGTGTGTGTTTTCAAGTGTTTGTAGGTATGTGTGTGTGTGTGTGTGTGTGTGTGTGTGTGTGTACGGTATATTCGAATGGAAAGGAAGGGAAGTTAAGAAGAGGGGTGGGAAGACTGGGAGACACGGGACGTGTTCCGTCTCGTTCGGCGGAAGCGAAGGTGATGATTGATGGCTTGTTTCCGCGCCGCCCGGGTTTGCCACTCTCTGGTGTCGCCCGTGATCATGACCCTGGTGTGGTGGTGGTGGTGGTGATGATGATGATGGCGGCCGACCGACCGACCGACCCGAACTGTGTTGATGATTTTTGTATGTATGGCGTGTGTGTGTGTGTGTGTGTGTGTGTGATGGAGAACGTATGCGGTTGTTATGGAAATGTGAGATTCCCGGCTCTCTTGTGTAATTGTTGCCTCCGCGTGTTTCCGTCTTTTTTTGTTATTTTGGAATCTTGGATGTAATTTTTTTAAATTACGATTTTGAATATTCAGGAATTGAGTTTAATGTTTCGAGGTTGGAAGTACTGTACATTGCTGTACTCGTTACGAACATTGGTCGTTCCGAGAAGTGCTTTGTTGTGTAAGACGCGTATCTTAATGAAGATGTACACAGCACTGTACAGTATATCTGAAAAAAAATACATATATGGGACTCCATTCCGAAAAGAGTGTTCGCTTTTCTGCGTGAAAATCTTTCGAGGCACAAAGAGCGAACCTCGTCAGGAATTTCCTGGAAGAGTTTCATTTTTTCCCTCTGATATTCTTGGTTGCATTTTGCGTGATGTTCATTCGTTCATTCAACACGAGGAACGCGTTGAAATTCAAAACTGAATGAAATGAACTTGAATTCGATTGTCTTCATCTCGCATCCTCTGCAGCTTGACGGTTGTTCCTTTTTTTTTTCGTGTGGTCACCTCGCGCAATATCACGTTGTTGAAGTTGGAAAAAAAAATATTGTATATCCTCCTTCACCTCGAGTTCGAGACGAAATTTCCGTGTTTGTGGGAATACAGTACTTCACTCTGTGCGGTAGGGTTTCTGACGTCAAGAAATTCGTTGAGGTCTACAGTACTCCATCTGCAAATGCGATTACGATACTGTATTTCCCGTAACTTCATGTGCAATGATGACTTCTGGAATAAAGGAAATTGAGCAGACTGTCGCGTCTTATTCTTCTCCTTCGACCTGTCGGTACAATTCTGATCGATGCCATATTTTGTAGGTTACTACTGTTTCATTTCATCCAAGCGTCTGTTGGAGTTTGTGTTTTGCATAAACTGAGCAGAAAGTTCTTGCGGAAAAGGACTGGAATTTTGTACACCAGCAAAAGACAAGACGTGATCGCATTGTTCGCCTTTTTTTCAAGTCCAGTGTCTCAGCTCTTCTTCAATGAGCTCAAAAACCGCGCTACTGTATATTCTTGGCATAAGCTAAGAAAGAAACGTTCGAGCAACTTCTCTCCCCGCACCCAATTCATTCTTTGCTCTCTTCTCGGAAAGAAAACAAAAGCCAAGTTTCCCGCGAATACTATTGGAATGTCATTGGTTTATGCGTGTGGGTATCGGCACTCGAGAGACGGGCTTTGTGGAGGGTCATGGGAGAAAAAGGTCGTCGTCTGTATGCTTCTTGTGTTGCGGGATTGACCCAAGTTTTTGAATGAAATGCGTACGCGTTTGTACAAGTGTGTATGTGGAAGGGAGTTACGGGAAGGGAAGAGGCATTGACCCGAATGAGTAATGAAACCCTGCTGCTGTCTGTGTGTGTGTGTGTTTGGGTTCTAAATTTCCGTCCGATATTTTGAGATGCTTGGTTCTTCCTTGTTATATGAGCTGCCGCGCACTATTTTCAAGATATCAATGGTCTCTAACCGCTGTTCCAGTCATTGCCGACTGTTCTTGGGTGGGGGGGGGGGGGGGGGGGGGGGGGGGGGGGGGTTTAAGAGCGTGTGCGCTTTCATCTTCTTCTTCCTCTTCCTACTTCCACCCACACACACACATTATACAGTATATATATTGTATATACCGTATATACCATATATATATTTAATATATAAGACCAATATGTTGGGTGAAGGAGGATTTAATTGAAAAATCCCTTTCTCGTGTTTCTCGCTCTCGCGCAATGTGATGCATCTGTTTTATTTTTTCATCTTTGTTTCTTTTATACCGTATAACGTGGAAATGATCATTTAGGGAATATTCCGGGTTCCTTTTCCTGTTGTTGAATGATGTACGAGAGAATCTCGTTATTACGAATAAGACCTTGAGACGGGGTAATTTGTTGGGTTAGTATTCCCAAACCCGTGGTTTTTTGCCGGTCTGCGGGAAATTTTCTGCAGCATAATGAATTTATCGAACGTAGAGAAATGAAGTCTTTTATCTTTATCTTGAATTTCAGAAAGAACACGGACAGTTCGAAGTACAGTATCTGATGAAAAGTAAAATGTTGGCTTTCTTCCTAGTAGCACTTCATACAAATTTTCACTGCTGAAAATGTTTTCCTCATGCTGATGAACTTTTCTTCAAGCACACGTTTCTAATCTCTGAAGACATTCCACTAAATCTGCTTCATCGGTCCTTAATTTTTGCAAAAACCCAGAAAATTTGTTAAATACCTGCTGAAAGTCTTTGAAGCAAAACTTATTTGAGTCTGCAAAAATTTAATGAAACTTTGCTGGTCCGCAAAAAAAATGTTAGGAAAAGTTGCCGGGCCGCGGACCCGGAAAAATTGGGGACCACTGGGTTAGGTCCCTGTCCGATATAGCCACGATGCTGAATGAGTTGATGTACTGCAGAATGAATTTTTCATCATGGCGAAGCTGTTTTACTAATCCCGATGGGTTTGCTGTAAGGAATTCTCAATGTATTTGTGATCAGCCGAGTCTCAAGAGTGAATCTGGTGCGAGTACATTTCCTTTTTTGTGTTAGCAGTAGCAACTTTCGCCACGTCGAAATTTAATTAACTTTTTTATAATATATGAAAAAAATGGACGATGAATGTTGTTGAAACAGTTTATCCAGTTCGGCGAGAACTGTGATAAACAGAAGTTTCTGCCAAAAGTGTCATATAAGAAAGTTTGAAGAACCTTGTAATTGTGTAATTGAGTGGATTCTTGAATTAAATGCGTAATTATTGATTTCGTGTGTGTGTGTAGGAGGCATTTATCTTCAAAAAAGTCTCGGATGACCATGTGACGACATTGTGTCGGCATTTTAGTTTTCCAGCATTATATTGGAAGAATTCACAATTTTCAACTCGCTTGATCCATTCGTATAGGCTTTAATCGCGAATGTGTATTGAATTGCTGAGAAACTTTTTATCTGTTTGGGTTTCCTTTGTCGCATTTGTGAAGCTGGGAAAGCGTGTGAAGAAGTTCAGTTTTACAATTATGTTAATGAATGTAATGTAATTTATCTTATAATTAATGAATACTGTATCCAGTTGGGATTTTAGAATGCGTTTTTCGCGAATCATATCAACTAAATGATGCATTTATTTATTTTTGTGTTTAGTTCGTCTTGGATTATGTTGAATCATGAGAATTAAACGAAATTATTTTTCAATATGCTTTCCACCCCCGCGCACGAAGCAGGATAATTTGAATTTCGGCGAAATCGTTCGACAAATGTATGTCATTATTTTTCATTCAATATGCGTAGAAGTTGAAATTGAATTCCATCTGAGGATCATTTCAAAGCGTGAAGCGGTAGTTTCCTGGAATGCAGTACAGCATGTGCAGTATATTTTTGTCATTTGAGATTCGGGTCTAAAAACTTCTCGAGGAACGGAACGATGTTCGAAACATTATTTTTTTTCAAATCACGACCAAGTTCTTTTCGATTGTTTCGAACCTTGTTTTCTGCGCCAAAACCGCGGAAGTCGTCCCCCCCAGAAAAGAAGGGAAAAAATCAGCTGGAATCTCAAATCCCTTCTTGTTGTTTATTTCTTTCGACTCCGGCTTCGTCCAAGTATTTAAAACTCGTGGACTGAGGGTGGGCTCAGCTGTTTCCTGGTTGTGGTCCCGATTTTATTCACGCTTGAAGACGTGTATGAAGGAACCCGTAAAGTGGCGAGGGGGGGGGGGGGGGGGGAGAGAAAGAGAATGACGCAACCGCTGGCGGGTGAATGAATAACTTGATCACATCGCAGTCAACAAAAGATACGCATAAAAAATTGTATGAAGGAACCCGTAAAGTGGCGAGGGGGGGGGGGGGGGGAGAGAGAAAGAGAATGACGCAACCGCTGGCGGGTGAATGAATAACTTGATCACATCGCAGTCAACAAAAGATACGCATAAAAAATGTGCGAGGTTATTCCCCTGATTCTTTTCTGTAGTTCCGCCCCGGAAAAAATGGTTCGTCGTTTGAGGAGGTCTGCGAAATGGTTTCCTACCAGCTTATCTGATGGTGTGATGGATTTATGCTCTTTTCGCACACAACACACTGGTCAATTTCAAGTTTTCATCATTCGTTTTTGGGGGGGACATCCGAAATTAATTTCTGCATTCTTCGTTTTACAAAGTTAATGTAATATAATTTTTTACAGAAAGAAGGAACTTATCAAACTTAACATTGTTAACCTATCCTAAGTTGACTGACTCAACTTGCCCTAACTTAACTCACCTAACCTAATTTAACTAACCTAACCTAATTTAACTAACTTAACCTAAGTAACCTAACTAACCTAACCTGACTAACCTAACCTAACTTAACCTAACTAACCTAATCTAAATGACTTGACCTAACCTAACTTCGGTTAAATTGGTTGGTTGGATTGGATTGGATATATTTCAACTGGTTGAAGCTTGTTAAAGTAATAATAGATTTGATAATATGAAGGGTAATAATGAAGGGTAAAGTCTACAAACTTTATTTTTGTGATGTCCTTTAAAAACCAAGAATGAAAGATCGCAGGGAGCGCAGAGATTTGTAGGAATAGAACCAGTTTCTGGTGTGGGTAGAACCTGAACTCCAAGATCTCTGGTAGGAAACCATTCCGCTTACTGTTCGAGGAGCTTGCTTTGCATGTAATGTACTGTTGTACTGTCCTAGTGCAGTACTGTAAAAAAAATTATCGCCAATTTTGTACGTGAGGAAATTGTGTTTGAACCCGAGGCATCCTTTAAAAACTGCCTAGTACTAAAAGACGCAAAGTGGGTCTTAACTTTCTTCTTCTTTGTTGTCAACCTTAACATACCAGTTGCTAACATGAGGATGATAGCTATGGCAAATGTCCATCTGAGAAGTGTTACTAATTCAAGGGAGCAGAAAATTTTTTTTTTAGTGAAAGTTTCGTTGCACAGAATCTGTATAGCGTGTGAGAAAAATAAAAATTCGTCATAAGGAGAAAATCGTCTTTGAGAGGGAGAGTCCATCTATTAGTACGTATACCGTAGTAGGTTGTGACGAAAATTATTGACTTTTATTTGCTGTTTAAGTATTCGATTCCAAGTGTTGTGTCTTGATCCCTGCTGGTACAAGTACTGGCAACTATTTTATTAGATTCATCGCCTGGCCTTCTTTTTGTTGTTGGCGGATTAACTTTCATTTTTAACTGGGGTCAATTATTGACATCCAGTCCAACTATCGTTCGTATGCGAAATTTTTTGAGCTTTCGATTGATTTTTGTGTGGCGTGGAGCGAGGTTTTGAAGTTGGCGCAAATTACGGGGGTTGATATTTGCATGTTATTCTTGCCCACGTTTCAAGGTTCTCATTGATCACAAAATCTTCCTTTTTTTTTACTTGAAAAAAATTGTTCATAGCTTTTTTATTATTATATCCGAACATGAGTGGTTGAACGAACGTTAGAAAGGCAACCAACGTGAGTGGTTTTTTTTTCTTGGTGAAGAGCGCGGTTTTTCAAGTTGACAACACGTGAAGTGTGAGAATTAGAGAGATTGGCATTTTCTCGGGTCAACATTTCTTAGTAGCGTTTCTCATTTATTGCGAAATCTGCCTTTTCTTGAGTTCGCGTGAAAAGAAAATTATCTATAGTTTATCGGTTTTTTTGAATGTCCAAGCATACATGAGGGGATTTTTTAATTGCTTTGCCGATAACATGAAGGTGCGAGGACTAGATTCTTTGGTACCTATCGCAAGCCTTTCGAATGGCAATTTTGGTTTTGTTCTTGGAATGATATTTTTTGCGACTTCTGTGCGAGATTTTTTTTTTCAGGTCATGTTCCATGGTTTTGCACGATACAGTACGTGCTAATTTTCTGATTCAATAGCCCTTACAAAGACATCATTTATGAAGTTCTGTTCATTGAAGACTTTTTCATTCCCTGAGAAGTTCTTGGACCTCTTGAAACGCAGTACTGGGTGTGATTGTAGTACTTTTGCGGACATCGAAGACGCGAACATTTCAGTGTAGAAGTTTTCAGTTATTTTCTCGGCGTTTATTGCATGAATGATGTTTCATAATGGAAGTCTGGTCTGCATTTCCTTGATCAAAACTGGTCCTGAGGAAAGTTAGAATATCCCCAATGGGTCGTTCTTGGAAAGGCTGTCTTGCCGATTTTTTTTTTCAATGAAATGCAGGCCTCGAGTATTTAAATAGCTTTGTGTCCATACAAAAACCGTATGAATGCTGTGCTTCTTTCCGTGTTATAATGTCCAGCACTGTATTGTACTAGATTCAGAAGCTTGTTCAAATTCCATTTTTCTCGGGGGTTGTAAAGTCAAGGACCTGTTGTGTGATGCTAAGAGAAAAAAAATACGCGAGCTTGAATAGAGCCTGATCACGCGTTTTGAATTGTACGAGTTTTTTTTTTCTCGCGTTTTTTCCCCAGGTGTGGGAATGCTGACTCACTCTCACCTGGAGTTGTGATTCTTCGAGAGTCGATCCTTTACGGTGTTCTGTGATTATTTTTTTTATAGTGGTGGGAATAACGGTCGACTTCTCTCGCGGTTGAAGTGATGATCATTGATTTTGTGTGGTAAAGAGCATGGTTATCGAGTTTGGAGCTCGTAAAGTGTGGCGATTTCCAGGGCCTGAGATTTTCTAGCAAACCTTTCACTTGAAGTCCGCCTTTTCTTGAAAATCGAGATCGTTTTATCAATTTTATGTCATGGCGGGTGTTGATCCTTTTTTTTTTTATTGCTTTGCTGATTGAATTTCAAACTTTTTTTTCCTTTCGCAAGAACACGTGTTTTCATGGAAAATCGTAGTACCGATCACGCCTGTGTGTGGCCGTGATTTCTACGCTTCCTGGGCTTTTTCATTCCCATATTTTTCTCTCTTTTTAAAAGTAATATTTCAGAAAAAAGGAAAGCGTTCAGGGTTTTCAATCTCTATTATCGCGCGCTCCTCGAGGCGCTGTTATGTCACTTCCTGATGAGCATGCGTCTTCGCCGTAAACATTCCCGCTCACCCTTTCAGATAATATTATTGTACAGTACCTTATTCAGAAGCGAGTGTTTCGTTCATTTCCTCTTATTTTTTTTTCCGTGCTGGCGCAAAGCACCGGACTATAGTACTCAATTACCCTAAATTTTTGTTGAGCGGCCTACTGACATCATAGAAAAGGTAACTTACATTCTGTAGTCTGCATTCAAAGGCCAACAATAAGATAAAAAGACGCTTGAACCAACACAACAGTATGAGGTTCGCACGTTTTATTTCTTTTCCTTGACAATGGAAAAGGGCTGGAAAAACTGCAAAAAATTTAAAACGATGGGTTTTGAGGAAACCGTCATGAAGATGATGCTTTTTTTTACGAGTTGAACAAAAATACTTTTTTGATGTTTGTTTTCCTTGGAGGAATTTCTCTATTGCCTAATTTTTACGTGAGGAAATTCTGTTTGAATCCGAGGCATCCCTTGATTTGACAATTATGATTTCTTTAACTCTGCGTTTCACCCAAAATTGAAGGAAGAAAAGTATTGCAATCCGATTTGTCGATTGCACTTTTAACTATCGATACCGTTTACGGGTAGACTCTACACAATAAAATTCAATGGACCAGAAACATTTGTTGTAGAGAGGATTTCGTTGTAAAGTGTGTAACATGAGGAGAGAACCTTGAGATACAGAAGAAAAAAATGCCATTAAGGAGAAAATCGTTGTGCAGAGGGAGAGTCCACCTGTAGTACGGATGTCGTAGGTGGCGACCGACAAAAATTGTTGACGTTTATGTACTTATGTAATATTTGTGGCGATCGAAAAAAAACGAGCAAGTTTTGGTACGGTTTGTTCATGTGTCTTTTTCGTTGTTTATTTTCTGCAATTTAGGAAACCAGAGTATGGCGATGCCTCCAGGCAGTCAAGGTCCTCCGGCGGAGACCGTGGTGGCGACCACAGATACCGGCGCTGCCCCTATTCCTGGCCCTGGCCAGCTGTTGGGCCACGCGAGGGGCAACCAGTTGCCACCACCGCCACAACAGCAGCAACAAAACAGTAACCCGGCAGCTGGAGGCAAGTGAATCGTGTTTTTTCCTCCTTTCTGTCTCATCTGCTTCCGTTTTTGATTGCGAGACATTGTCTCTGAAGTCTGGTAAAAAATTGGATGCTACGAAGTCAGACTTGCATTCGAAAAATAATACTATGGTCAAACATAAATTGCCGTAATTTTTTTTTTCATTGAAACTTTCATTTCTTGTTTTGGAAATGATTTCGGCGTAGTAAGAAAAGTTGTGTGGTGTCCTGAGAGACTCCGACTGGCTGATCCTGGGTTTTCTTCGCTCATCCTCTCTCGAAATTCACCGGAGAGGTCAAAGAAGTTCAATTTGAAACTTCCGTGGCTTTCGGAATTCATATTTTTCTCCGAGAAATTCGTCGGACGTGGTAGCCAGTGCGAGTTTTCTTGTTATCGTGTGTACCAAACGATAAGAGATTTTTTTTAATCTCTAGGATTAGTTGACAGGAATAATTTTTATCCTGAGACATCAGTTGACCAACAATCAGCGCATGGCATTTGTTTTTCAACGTTTATTCTGGTGCAGTCGAAGGTTAAAAGCTGCCTATGTATAATGAATCAGGAATCAGGATTGGTACTTCTTTTTTTTTTTTTAATCAAATTCGCCGCGTGAAAATTATTGAGCTATTACTAGCTTCAAGTACTATATGAACTAGGCATTTTGTCTAGTTCGAACGATTAAAAAATCGTTCGAACATTCACCAGAATTTGAAGATCATTCTATGTCGATATATATTTTTTTCGATTCTGGCAAAGAGTGGTCGATGTTCGATGGAGTCGCTAATCAGTTGTCCCGATTAATAAAATATTAAATCGATATCGTCTGTTGAGAAATTCGGTCGAGGCATTTTAAAATTTCGTTGTAAGGTACAGCACATCATTTTCACTGAGTACTTGAGAGGTTCTAATATTCAGATTCCCCACCACTCTGGTGAGAATTGGCGGTACAGTAATTTTCCCGACGAGACGAAGAATTTTCTGCTCTATTTCCGTTTTGGGGTTTAGTGGAAATGATGAAGCTGTCAGTCGATGGTACTTCTTTTTTTTTTAAATCAAATTCGCCGCGTGAAAATTATTGAGCTATTACTAGCTTCAAGTACTATATGAACTAGGCATTTTGTCTTGGGTACTATGGCTTCTTTCTCTCTTCCGCCGAGTCTGAAGAAGGAAAATCGTCCCTTTACGATGATTTTTTTTTTGGATTATATGACTGAAGGAAGAACAATTAACCTAGGAATGTACGTTATCATGACCTAATGTAAAAATGCAAGACTTGCCGGTATGATACTGTACGCACTCATGTACCCATTTGCCCTTTTGTTGCGCATCCGTGTAATCCGAAAAGTAGCTGTACAGTACTGTATTACACGTTTTTGAGATTATAGGATGTACGGTCGAATTTCTGTGAGCCAAAGTTCAAGGGACCAGAAAAAAATTAGAGTTTGGGAACGGAGCGTTTTTGTCTGGGGTAAAAAAAAAAAGAATTGCAGGAAATTGTAAAATTGCAATCGGTGATGAGCCATTGGCCGTAAATTGCTTCTTCAAAGGGCTTACCAGAGGCCGAAGTTGAAGGAAAGGGTTCACTTGCTCAATTATTCTTTCACTTTATTTCAAAACGTATCAAGTTGCATTTTTATTGCGTTTCTCTTCCATGTGCTAAATGAAATACTGTACAGTCAAATTCCGATAAGACGCCACCATTTGTCCAAAGCAATTTTGGCGATTTAAAGGGGTTGGTGGTTCATCGAATATTTAATTTTAATTATTTGATCACGATTTTCCTCCAAAATTCTTAGAGATACAGGTTATGTATAGAAACTTCAGTAATTTTCCAAAGAGTATTGCTGTGAGCAATGGATTACTCTTCAAGAAAAAAAAATTGCTGCACAATTTATTCAAATTTTAAGATTAGGTCAATATAATTTTCAATAAAATGATCATTATTATTTTTTTATTCTTACCAATACAAGATCCTTGGCAGAAATTAGAATTCTACCCCAATGTTGGCGTTGTAATAAAGACAAAACTAATTGGAAACAGCACTTTTGTTTCGTCACTAATGCTGGCGGTTGGTGTCATATCGAGGTTTTCTATAGAATTTATCTTAGAGGAGATTTGTTTCATTCGAAATTTTGGCGGTTGCTTTATCGGGGGGCGTCTTAACGGGGTTTGACTGTAATAGTCAAAAGGCCTCTAGAAAATTCGAGTTACTGTATATATAAAGGTTTCAAATAGAGTACAGTACATTGGTTTCGAAAAAAATTTCAGACTGGGACTTCGAAAAAAATAAAAAAATAAAATTCGACGACATGAGAAGGTTCGAGGTTGAACTGTATCATGATTTTGCTGATTTCGTGATGTTTTTTCTCTCCTTTCCCTGCGCAGTTTACGGACAACACCACATGCCCCCTCCCCCGCATGGCGGCCCGGGCGGGATGTACCCCGGCAGCAAGATGGGAATGCCGCCGCATCAGATTTACGGCAGTCCTCCGCCACACCAGTATCCATCAGGTGACGAATGTGTTCCGCATTTGTTATTATTTGTTTGTAAGGGAAAATAATACAGTAGCAATCTTGCATTCGTCCCACACGTGGACTGTTCTTGGTAGCGTGCAGACGGTTTTTGCAGTGTGATTTATTATTATTTTTTTTGCGAGATGATGAAATTCAGTTAACTCTTGATTTTGTGCTACAAATTTTCCTGGAACGAATGAGAACTCCAGTGTTTTATGAAGGGAAGCCCCGAATTAGTGCCACCATAAATACCTTGTCCTGGGTGAAAAGTGTGCCTGAATTAATCGAATTACGGCCTTTTTCTAGGATTACCTGCGTGTTAATATTGAGAATCCCATGCCTGTACAAAAAAAACCGAAAATTTGATCATTCTGAATTTACATACTGAAGTTTTTAAAAAAAAATTCGTTGCCTAACACCTTCCATTATTGAAAAAGTGACTTGAATAAGTGAAAAGTGAATGCTCTCGAGCATCTCATTTTTGCACTGCCAGATTATTTGCAACAGTCGTGGAAAGATTTGAAAATTATATATCTTGGTATTCCTAAAGGTGGTATAGTTTGCTTAGACGGAAACTTGGCGTTCGAGCTGGGAAGAATGGCGTTTATTAGGTCTACGATCTCAAAACGAGGGTTGGTTCAGAAGTTTTGCAACTGTTTGAAATAGATCCAACGGGGTTGCAAAAATTCCATGAATTGTTTTTTACTTGCATTGACCATCATTCGGCAGCACTTGAGTGCTGTTATACTCTTCAGCATACTCTCCACCGATTTCAATGCATTTTTTCATGCAATAAATCCAATGACCAAGACAGTGCCACAAATTGAATTCCGTTAGCTGTTTAAGCTGCTCTTTGATGACAGAAATGAAGTTGTCACTGTCCTCAAAATCAATCCTTTTCAGGTCGTTCTTCTCCGTCGGGAACAGTGAGAAGTCGTCACAGAGTGCGATGTATTCTTTAATGAATTCTTTTTTTCCCTATATTTTTCAAATGAAAAATCTTGAAAAATTATTATTGAAATCGGTTGAGAGTATGTTGAACAGCTCCGAAGTGCTGCCAAATGATGGGGCTATGCGAGTAGAGAAACAAATTTTGAAATTGTTGAAAATCTGTTGGGTCTATTTCAAAAAGTTGCAAAACTTATGAACCAACCCTTTTACATCCTACGAAAATCAATGTGCCACATTCTTTGATTTTGGTTCCTAGTTTTTATTTTTTATTTTTGTGTTGGACCGTGACGATCATGAGACATGTTGCTCACGGGGATCAATCCAATCGTATCTCAGTTGACTCTCCGCTTAAATCGTGTCAAAACATGAATCTTTCACGCCTTATCATGCCGGAGAGTCGTGAATTCTTGATGCGGTTTGCTACGTTGGCGGAACGATCTTTTGATCGTGATCGCGTACGTTTGACGCATGAAAGTCATCACTGCCTAAGCTAGCTTACAAGCCTAATTAAAGGAACTTACTAGGTCTACAACAGCTCGAAGTAAAGGCATAAAGTCTCGACATACGAAGACAACCAGACAACAACAAAGTACAGTACGTGTACGTACTGCGTATCCTTTTTTTTTTTCGTTTTTGTTTTCCTTCCTGAATTGCTCAGATCGTGAGAGGAGAGTTCGAGTTGGCATCTGCAATCCACGCCGAAGTGATAATTCATCAATCGCCGGCTAAATCAAGGAGTGTAAATGATTCAAGAAGGATATGCTGGAGTTCGCGAATTGAACTCTATTCTTGTATCAATTGTAGTATTGGCGGATACGATTTTCATAATTTCATGCTCTTTTTTTGTATCCCCATTTTGCTGGATAAATTTGTTGTGTTATAAAATTAGACCCACTTTTGATCGTATTCGGTTCATTATTTCAGTTTTAATTCGTGAGATACGTTGATATTTTCTCTCAAATTTCCGCCTTTTTAGAGTTTCTGGAGTAAAATCCATTTGGCAATTCATTCTATTCGGTAATGATTTGCCTGGAGTAAATTGAGCATACCTGAAGTTTAAGATTTAAATTGAACGTACGTCTTACGGAGGTGAATATTTGATCTGATTTTGATCGTCCATTGTTTATTATCGATGTTGCTTCCCTATCTTCGGGGCAATTCTGCGAATCAAAATGTTTGATTCCCCCTACGCACTTCATTGAATGGTTCGGCTCAGTTTATTGGTGAAAATTTTCCAGAATGATCTGTTCATTTTTTAAATTGAGTTTCGGATACTCGATGGAATGCAGTCGATCTTCAAGATACCAGCAACAAAATTCGAGTGTGGGAAAGAGCTTTTTTTCTGGAAATAAATATGTAGAATTGTTGTGCATACATTTATAATTGGTAATATTCTGATCCTTGAATTAAGAGAGTTGACAGGAAGCTGAACTTGGAGACAGGTGTTTTCCTTCCAGGTGCGTACTTCAATGTAAAAAACGAAAATAATTAAAAAACAAAGTTATTTTAATATTGTTCCGAAGTCTTATATACTCAACACCTCCAAAAAACTCCTTTCGGACACTCAACCCCTCCAAAAATTACGAGTTTTTTTTTCTTGAGGAAACTCAGACGTGGACTTGAAAAAGATCCGACATTGGGAGGTATTCGAGTTATCGAGGTTCTAGTATACTGTACAAGTGTACAGTGTACCCTTGTTCGACAAATTTGAAACCAAGGTCTGTTTTCAAACAATGGGTTTAAACTAAAAGGGTACCTGAAGTTACCCCTTCTTAAATTAGGCAAGGTACTGGGTATTCTGTTAACTTGTAACTTATATTTTTTAAGGTTCTGGTAGTTCTTCAATCAGAATGAGACGGTTCTGCATCTTTTATGTGCCCAGAATGTTTTTACAGTGTTATATGGAAGTAGCACTGATAAAAATGAAGATTAAATGAGCTTTTCATCCAGAAAAGCACACAGTACGAAGGATACATGTCGAGCAAAAATGAAATTTATTCTTTAAATTGCGAGGAAAGGTCAAACAGACCTTTCCCACAATTGAACAATTGCAAAAACCGAGCACAGAAAAATATATGAATACTGTAGCTGAAACGGATTTAAAAACACAAGATTACACATATTTATGTGCCGAGGAAGGAATTTTCATATCATTGCATCGCTGATTCATTTTTACTTGATTTTACCATAGATATGAGCATCAAAATCAAATTATGAATTGTCAAATTTGGAATTTTCCCCCCAAAAAAAGTTTGTTAACCGAGGGTCAATTTATGTGGAAACTTTGTCATCATTGATGGTAGCAGCTCATTTATGTGTGATGCTGAATAGGTTGCTGTTGTACAGTATCTGTTCTTGGAAGCAGTGTAATGAATATTTTCCTGTTTCTGTGCCTGACGTAGGTGGATATGGAGCGCCACCGCCCCTTCCGCCGCGGACGCATTCCGGGATGGCGCCTCACGGGTATCCGGCCAGCGGCGGCAGCGGGTACCCGACGACCGGGCCCGGGGTGCCCATGTCTCAGAGCCCGTACGACGGACGGCCGCCGATGAGCAACCACGTACCCCCACCGGCGCCGCACACGAACCAAGGATACCCGCCTTCCGGGCCTGGTCCTGGCCCCGGGCCCGGCGGACCCGCGCCTGGGTATCCGTACAATCACCACATGCCGCATCACCCGCAGCAACATCAGGTTATTATCCTTGCGTCGGTCATCTTGGTTGTCTCATTCTACTAGGCGAAATTCTGTATTCCCTCGTAATGCGTTACTTGGATTGAAAAGAGGAGGAGGTGTTTGTTTCGTGTAAACTTCCAAAATGTACTGTATGCGATTTTCAGAAAACAATCAAACCTCAATTCAGTGTCACAAATGTTTCTGGAACAAATTCTCGTCCATTGTGTTTTTTTTTTTTAGGGAAACCCATGATTTAATGTCTACTCAGTTAGTGCCACGAGAAATTCTCTGTCGTGGTTGAAAATCGGAAATCATCGGATTATTATTGATGATTACATTCCCGTGTTAAGATTTAATTCCAGGATAATTTTGAACATTGTAATTTGGACTTGACATTGCAAAAAATAGTGTTCGTGTACCTTCATTTATTGAAAATTTTATTAACGAAGAAGGAGCTTTCTCATGAACATTGGTAATTTCTTCATTATGGCACCTGGTATAAAACTCAGACACGAAAAACCTAAAAAAAAAACACCTGTGCTCTACTAAACGTACTGTATTTTGTTGAAAAAATAAATATGCCTTTTCGAATTTTCTGTGTTGAAGCACGGTATAAAACATTTCACTGGAGCTTCGGATTATTTTTAGAGGCTTCCTCTCTTGTGAAAACGACTCAGTGGCCTAAATATTCTATAAACAAGCTTTAATTGCGTGCAGGAAAACCCCTGAGCTAAACCTCCGTCTCGTACGATACCCTTAATTTAATGTCAGTCCTGCTTAGTGTCAAAAAATGTGCCAGGAAGAATGATGGAACTAAATCGAGGTTTAACATATTGTACGTGATGCAGTTATGGTGGACTAAATTTCGTTTAAAAATATTTTTTATGAAAAGTTTTTTTCAAGGTCCCGAATGCTTCGTTGTAAAGAGGTTCTACTGCAGCTCAGTGTAACAGAACTACCCGAAACTAGTTCATCATAGGTGGAATACTGGCTGGAGTTACGATTTGATCGAGTGCTTTTTTTTTGTGAGAAAAAAGGTTTTCTTTTCGGAAGGGTTCATTTTTGTTGCAGGAATTTCCCCCTTTTTTTCTCCCCCTCTCTCCTCTCGGTGTTACTGAATGAGCAAATGGTGGTTGTGCTGCTGAAATATTTCCTCAGGATCTCGTCTGCGGAAAGATTTCCTGGGAAATGTTGATCAGACGCAAACGTGCGGTGAATACGATTTTTCATCCTCTCTGGGTTTCGCAGGGTTGGAACGGGCCAAGCATGGCCTCTGGAGCTAATCAACCACCGCCGGGCATGATGATGAGCGCTGGGAAGCCGGGGTCCCCGAGCGCCGCCGCCAACTCGATGCCGCCGCATGCGCAACAGCAACGAGGCGGCGGTGCCGTTTACCTCAAGGAGCACTTGAGAGTAAGGCGTTGAACAACCGGCTGCTTCTCGACTTTCTTTTTATATCGTTTCTTTCTTTTTTTCAATCGCTGCGAACCTTATTTTCTTCTTCTTCTTCTATCACACTCACTCACTTTTTTGTTCGTCAGTTTTGCAGTATTTTTCATTTAATTTTCGAAAATGGGGATTTTGGTTCGTCGTTTATTGGAAGCCCAATCCCCGGCTTTACTATGGTCTAGTTGCTGTGGTAGGCAATACATTATACAGTATTGTACAGTAATAAAAATCTTAACACATATTGGTAGCAAAAACCAGTGTTAAATTTGGTCAAGTGTGTTCGGATGTAAACAGAAAAAAGTGGTTCATTTCAGAATGGTTCAATCGATTAATAAGCGTAGTCAAGATTTCAAAGCAGTTTCTCTTTCGTTTCCTTCCACGAAGAAAATGTTGAAAATTGTGAAGCAGTAACTTGAGTAGGGCCGTATAAACGTATATTTTCAGCAAAATCGAAGGAGTGTGTTTGGTTAGATGCAAGAAAGTGTGGTTCATTTCAAAACAAGTTTATTCAGTTGATGAGCATATTCGAAATTCCGGAGCAGTTTCACTGTCGTGTCCTTCCGCGAAGAAAATTTCGAAGACTGTGAAGCAAAACCTTGAGGAGGACAGTATAACTTGAACAAGAAAAACAGTCGGGTGTCCAGTTTGCTACCTTGCAACCCGCGAATGAGACCGAGTGCTTGATTTAACCTCTACGCTGTTCGATGGAGTTCAGATATTATATTAAATACGAGTTCTTCCTTAAAGTAAGCCCGGATTACTGCCCAAGGAATTCGATGTCGATGCATCGCTTCGAAAGAGAACAGGTCGCAAAATCAAGAATACCCTCTCCTTTTTTATATTTTTTCTTCTAATGTGCTGAAGATTTTGTAAACAGTTTCTCCGCTACGTATATTCCCTCAGAAAGCAGTCCTGAATTATAAAGAACTGTATATAGCCGTTCTCCAAAGGATTTGACCCACTCCCGAAATGCCCTAGTCCACACCAAAACCCCCCTCCTGATGGAATGTGGAAAACTCTTTCCATTTTTATGAATGCTGAAGAACTGGAAACCAGTTTATTTTCCGAGGCTCAAATTTTTCGCAGTGATGAACAGAACTGGTTATTTCGAAGTATAATGAATGAAAGAAAACAGGGTTTTACGTCAGTGCCAACATTTAGTAAGTTCTACGTTCGACCGAAAAAACTTTTTATAATGGCGTTTGCAGTTCAGAGCAATTTTTCTTCAGAGAGTGCGAATTACAACGATGTTCTCTTCTTTCTTTTACAGTCGAAGATGGGCTATGGACCTCCTGGTGGAATGGTATACGGGTCGCCTGGAGGAGTGGGACCGGACGGGGGTCGTCCGAGTGGCGCCCTAACGCCGCCGGGTCTCGCTGGACGTCAGCTTCAGTCGCCCAACTCGCAGGGCAAGCCGCCAACGCCGCAGCCGCCGGGCATGGTAGTCGGCGGTCTGCAGGCGCAACCCATGCGCAACGGTGATCTCAGCAGCGACGGCGGTAGTTCCCAAGGTGCGACTCTTTCTGCCCGAGATCGAACTAATTATTGCAAAGTTTTCTAGTTGATGTGTGCGAAGAAAAATGGCAGTTTGCTTTTCATTTCTTTCGTGATTAGACGTGGAGGCGCAGTTCTGTGTACATATTAGATTCTACTGTATTACCTGCTGATGAAGGTAATATTCCGTCCTTCATTGGGAAGTGATTTTCCGCTGAGAAAATGTCCAAAACAATGTTTTTTCTTAGTTCTGTTTGGCTGTACGTGAGTATTTTTCACTACGGATGAACCGTAATTCCAGAGAACCGAAGTGTGAAGGAAACGCTCACGAATTATTAGAATTTCTTTCAGCGCAGGAAGTCATTTTCACTGTCTTGTAGTAGTCCAATGAATTTTTTTTGTGCTGAGCCTTTTCGTTATCCTTTGGAAGATGATTCCTCTCTGTCCTTGAAATTGTATCATTGTGAAGATCAGTGTTCAGACAAGCTTTCAATTGGGGTGGGGTTGCTTGATGAACATGAATATTAATTGCCTGGGTTTTTTGCAGGATCTGTGACAGGATTGATGCGTGGTGTTCCAGGTGGGATGGTGACCACTGGTCCCGACGGAATGCAGATTCACGACGAAGGCTCGCAACACTCGACTTTGTCTAATGCGTCAGCAGGTGATTGACTTTTTCCTTTGACGAATCAGCCTGGCATAGGATTAATTTGCCCTTGGTTTGAATTTTGAGCGAAGCCATCGGTACGAATTGAACCCGGCTGGCAGAAATTCTTCTACAGACGATAAAAATAAGATCGATAAACGCGTAGTGTGTCTTTCATGACGACCTGGTGGAGAAACCATTCTCTGATCAGTGGCCCAACAGACGGCGTCTTCGTTTGTATTTTCAGTTGTAATTGAAGAGAGAGACCTTCGTAAACTGCTCAGTCAAAATCTCTTGTGTACCGTTGCCGATCGAGGGAAGATTTTGGAATTACACTTTCAGTTAAATATAAGAGTGCTGGAAGATCTTTTGATCGAGCAAAACCAGCGGAATTTCGATTAGAGTGCCGTTTGTGAATAAGTGCGATTAGATTTTTATGTTGAATTCTCCGTTAGAAAGTCGAAAGATTTTGTTGTAAAATGAATCTTCTTTTTTTCCTTCAGCTTCCGACGACACGGCGCCGGCGTCGCTGCCCGGGTTGGCGGGTCGCAAAGATGGGCGCTTGAGCCATCCCGCGACGCCTCAGAGCCTCACGATGGCGCCGTCTCCGGGAACGGGTTCCATGAACTCGTACCCTGGAGATACGGACTCGAACTCAGTCGACGGGATTTCAGCGTCTGGTGGATCCAATGCTTCTCAGTCCATGATGGCGCCGGGCACGTGGAGCAAGATGAGCAGTCCGGTGAGAAAAAGCGCCCACTCCAAGTCTCCCTTTAGCCGTTGTCTTGCCTCTTTTTCACTTTTTTTTTTATTGGGTCAGGTACGATTAATTCCGGCCTTGACTCGATGTGGTACTTCGTTTTTTTAAATGGAGATAACGGGGAATTACCGTATTTGCGCTGATCAACGAGACTTATTTCAATCAGGACGGAAAAGTCTGGATGCGTTTTCGCATCAATAGTTCGATGCATTATTTGAACGAGATACTGAAATTGCGAAGTGCAATAGAAAGCATTCATTACCTTTCTGTCCTGTGTAATTTTCTTTAAGAAACATTTTTCTCATACCACATTGCTTGCTTTGATGTTGTTTTGCGAGGAAGAAGATCAAAGTGAGTTCTTATTCGAGTTTTTTCTGTGCGAAGCATCAGGTTAAAAAGAAATGTTTAATTTTGGAAGTACAGTACTGTACTACGTGCTTCTATTGATCCACGTTTGATGAATTTTTTTTTTTTTTACATTCTAAAATTTATCTGAATTTTTCTTTCACCTTGAGCAGCTGTAAAATTAAGGAGCATCTTGGTTTTTCATGGTCTCTTGCGTCAACGTAAATACGGTATATCTGTTTCTGCTCACCTTCCTTTTCGGGGGGAGAAGGAAGAGGGGGTTTTCATTGATTTTTTCGGTTTCCTCAACGACATTTTCTCTCCTGGTGACTGAACGAAAGATGCTCCTGTTCCAGGTCTACAATCAAATGCTTCCTCCTCCTCACGAACTCTTCAAGTCAAAGGTTAATTGAAATTAAACTTTCTTTCGCATTCTTTTTGTTCATTTAACCGTTTTTTCCCCTTATTTATTAATAGTCATTTTTTTATGGAGTATGCGAATGCTCGGTTGCGACTGACGGCGTGGAGGTTAAATAAAATTACAATTTAAAAGATTTTTTGAAATATGGTTTTTGAAAGTTCGTGACGAAATCGTTCTCACATTCACGCCGTGTACAACAATTGAGCAACGCTAGTGAATTTTCTACTTACTTGGTGTAGCTTTCTTATCTTTGATCCGCATGCGTTTTAACGTTGAATCTCTCAAAATCTTGAAATAATGTTGAATGGCCGTGTTCGTTCGTTTGTCTGTTTGTTTGATTGTTGGCTGACGACTGTTTACGTTTAGTGTGTTTTTGGGTGTTGATGGCGAATTTTCGCTCGTTTCTGTTTTTTTCTCTTCTTTTTCCTCCCGTTTCCCCGGGGTTTGTTTTGGTTGAAAAAACCGTAGCAACAGAAGCATGACTCGCTGGGCCGGTTGTTCGAAATGGACGAGATGCCGGACAGAAGACCGTTTCTGGATAAACTGTTGGCGTTCATGGAAGAGCGCGGAACGCCGATCACGGCGTGTCCGACCATCTCCAAGATCCCCGTGGACGTGTTCCGCCTCTATCTGCTCGTCAAGGAAAACGGCGGCTTCCTGGAGGTATGTCGGGTACGTGTGGGTGGCCCTCGCGGGAAAACTTGTCGTTGCGACCCCGGCTGAGCCCGGGGTGGGGCGAAGCAGGTTTTTGCGGCGGTCTTGTCCTAAGCTTGCGCTGTTGTCTCGTTGTGTATGGTTTTTTCTTGTCGCACACACGAGTCCCCGTGTGCCACACAGGTCTCGAGAGACTTTGCCTAGTATTTATATGGGTTTGCAAACAATTTTCCATCTACTATTCCTTGCATTAGTTCTTATTTTTTTCTTGTGTTCTCTTCATTTTTGAGAGAGTTGATGGCACAATTCATTCCACTTGCACGCGACGCGGGGGGGTCAAGTCTTGATCGATATTGATGATCATATTCAAAAATTATGATGAAAACTGAAAGGAACGAGCGTTCGAGTGGAAGATGAATCTAGCGTGTGTGTGTGTGTGTGTGTGCTTTTCCTGCGTTTGTGGGCTTTATATTTTGCGTGTGTTGTTTCAGTCTGTCTTTTGGTCATGAGTGGCTCAATGTGATGAATATTGTTACGTTTTGTTGGCGTTGATATTTGTCGTTGCTTGCTTAGATACATAGCTTTCCATCTTCCCCCTTTTGATGTTTTTTGGGGGCATCGCAAATTTTTCATTGATAAGCTTTGGAATTTTCCGTACGTTCGTATTAGATGCCGTGAATATCCCGTTTTTTTTTTACTTCTCTTCGTGCACCGAAATCTTTTTGTGATTATTATTCATATCGTTACCGTAGCAGCACATATTTTTTCATATTCTGTACGTCGAAAAGATACTCGTATCTGTCGCACCGAGAAAGTTCGTGTTGACCTGGAGAATTGAAAACCGCGATGATACGGGATCAAATTCTTTCAGTTTGAAGAAGGGAATAGTCTACTGTGTGCCTATCGTTGGAATTACTGTACAGTGCAGTACTTCAAACGAATGAAGATTATGAAGGGAAAAAGATCGGTTAAATTTGCATTGCTCTAATTGGCTTCTAGTAATAATCTAATTCATCTACGATATACCATTCAATGCGCAATATCATGAGTCATGCATAAGTAAGGGCAACTTGAAATTGATCCAGCGATAAATTCATTGAAAATTCAAGGAACAAGACTCTTTCATATTCATACATAGTGATGAACTCCAACGTGTCCGAAGATTGATTAAAATCCTCAAGAATGAGAACAATTTATATTTTCCTTGTGAATTATCGTGTAGATGCTGGTTTTTCACCTCTAGACCATAAATGCGATCGTTGGGCAATGTACAGTACATTCATTTGCGAGCTAATGACCGTGTCCGAGTTGTATCGAATTTTGTCATAATTTCCCGTCGGAAAAGTTTCAATTTTTACGGTCTGAGTTTGCGTTTCTGACGGGTGAACGTGAAAGAATACCGTACGCAAGGTGGTGCGATAGACGTTTCCTCGATGGTTACGGAAAGACGCTTGTCTTTTCGAATCTCGGAGCATGTGCTTGCTTTTGTGTGATAGCCTCGAGATCCGCGCACGACTTCTTTCTAACGGTTCCCCTCGTTTTCTGTCCGCATGACGACAATCAGGTGGCCAAGAACAAGACTTGGAAGGACATCGCGCTGAAACTCGGCATCCAGGGCTCCTCAGCAGCCGCCTACACTCTCCGGAAACACTACACCAAAACCGTGCTGCCGTTTGAGTGCAAGTTTGATCGCGGTGGGATCGACCCTGGCCCTTTGGTTGCCCAAGTCGAGGCCCAGTCGAAGAAGAAGAAGGGCGGCGCGGCGGCGGCTGCTGCAGCAGCAGCGGCGTCTGTCGTGCCGCCGACGACGCCGATGGAGTCGGGCTATCCGGGGTACCAGCCTGGAGGGCCACCACCGCCGCCGCAAGGGATGTTTGGTGGATACGGATACGACTATCACGGTAGTGGCGGTGGTGGCGGCGGCGGCGCTGCAGGTGCCGGTGGACCCCCGCCAGGTCCTCCGTCGCAACAGCATCATCATCAGCTACCGCATCCCGGTCAGTTGTTTCTCCTTTGGTGTATTTTACGCGCTACCAAGGCTTGGAGAAAAGAAATACAGTACTGTACATGGTTTTCTTCTTTCAATAATGAACGCGATTCAAAGAATGATGATAACGCTTTGGAAAAGAATGCTCACTATTCCTGAATGCGATATATTTATTCATGAATTTAAAACGTTTTGATGGAAGTACAATATTGAGGTAGTTGAAGACGAGACTAAGTTGCGAAGTCGGTTTTTTTCCTCATGACTTGCGCTGTTATTAGGAAAAGACGGTACTAAAAGGAAAAATTTGATCCTGTACGAACTTCTACGAATGAAATTTGATTTTTCTGGTTCAGTTTGAAGGTTGAAGAATCCATTCAGTGTTTCTTTCGTTCCCTTCGATTTGACAAACGTCTTTTCCTTTATGAGATTGAATAGTTGACATTTCATTTATTCAGAGGTTGCGAAACTTTTTCCAGTGTGTGCGATCGAAGAGCTGATTTCGGGCTTGTTTCGAACTGGTTGGATGAGGTTTTTTCGAAGCCATACATGTTAAGGAATGCTGTATTGATTTATCTAACGTTTGATCGTAAGCAGACTAAAACAGCCGAGCGAAGGTTCTGGTCCTTCGTTCGTGAAGAAAAGTCTGCGAGAACGTGACTCTGGCATCTCAAGCCACGCGATCCAATGCCATGACGCGTCGGTGATGAAAGCAGAGGACATGATTCCGTTCTTGTTGGAATGTTCTACGCTCGTTTTAAAACTTTGAGTGCGGTACTTCAGTGTGTGCAATTGATTTTTTTTGTGTAGGGTACCCTCCGCACGGTGCCTACGGTTCGTACCCTGGCCATGGGCAGCAGCAGCAGCAGCCAGGAGCAAGCAGTGGCGCCGGAGATCAAATGGGCCCTTACATGCGGTCTGGGGAGTATCCGCCGCCGCCGTCCGGCTCGCAATATGGGCCCGCGGGACAGCAATATCCATCAAGGTGCGTCGCGCTTTCTGCTTGAAGCTCTTCTCGGAGAGCTTTTGTCAGGATTTCAATTTATGTGTTTTACCTGGCAATATGTTTGTCATATTATTAAAAATGTTATAATATTGTATACCATTCGAAAGTTGTTGAAGTTGGCATTTGGTTGAAGTCCAGAGCTCGTGAATTTTGCCTGTCGTGATGCATAGTTTTGAAGTTATATCGCAGTTGTTGATAATTTTTCCCCGTATTCGGACTTCTTTCGGGGGTAGGTAACACCCTCATAAACCTTAATGTTTCGGATTATAACGCATTGAACGTTTCTGACGTTGGAAAGGGAGTGGATCGAACTTGAGTTTGATCCACGGCAAATTCAGTTTTCCATCACTTACAGTCCTCGAAATGATGATGTGGGAAGGGGAATGGTTCGGAATTTTCAATTTCCTACAAATATTTCATGGAAAATTACAACTGGTACTTTCCCGAAGTTTTCACTCTATTGGACGGTTGATAGGTGGCGAAAATGCAATTGAATGTTTTCTTGCGCGTTAACCTGTAGATACGGTCAGGAGGATGAAATTAAATTTTTGGGATTAACAGATCTATGAAAAATGTTATGCTTTCTGAGTTTGGGATAACCTGTGCAATGATTTATATTGCCGTGTCCATAGTGAAGTACTGTAAACGTTCATTTGGTTTATTGCAGAGGCTACCCACAAGGTCCGGGAGTGTCGTCCGCTCAAGAAATGCCGTCTCATTACGCGAACGCTACTGGGCGTTATCCTCCTGGGGCCCAGCCACCGCAACAGCAGCAGCAGCAACAACAGCAGCAACCGCCGCCTCCAACACCGCCGCAGCAACAGCAGCCTAGTGGTCCACCCGCGACGCCTCCGATTTCAGCTCCGCATACGTCGCCGAGTAGCACGGTGCCGGTGCCGACTTCAGCCGCTGCTGCTGCAGCAGCCGCGGCAGCTGCAGCGGCTGCCGCCGCGGCTGCAATGCCACCACCGCAGCAACCGCCGTCCTCGGCCCCCTACAATCCCTACGCGGCGGCGCAGGGATACTCTCTGCAGGAACAGTATCAGGTGAACAGCTTGTTTTCTTTTCCCACTCGTATCAATGCAATAGTTTGTGACGTATGATGCATGTAACTTTTTTTTTTTTAGTTTGAAATGAAGTGTACTTTGCGCTAGAAGCCATTATGCACACTAATAAATGTTGAGCCGTTGTTTTAATTCATTAAAGCAGTCAATAGTTCTTTTTTTTGTATGTTTATTCGTGAGTTTCATAAAGATGATGATTGGTGAATTTTTGCATTATTCTAAGTCGTGTTTTCACGATGATGGTAACTTATTTCAGGAATCCGAGTGAAATTCATGAATTATATTTTTCCCGAAAGTTTCAAACTTGAATTTAGTAAACATGCAGTTCAGTGATCAAGTTCTAGAAAAGTCGAGATTTTAGTGGGTGCCGCAGAAGAGCAGATGAGACAAGTGAAGGTGTCAAGTACAGTACATGCATCTACAGTATTGTACTGTACTCTATATGTATTCCGTAATATTAGCTGTCCATGTCCAGTTATATCCTAACGTTTTTCGGCTAGCTGTTGAAATGCCTGCTGTTTTGTACGTTTGCGCCCCCAAGATTGCGCTTTTTCGTCAATTTCGTTTCTGTTGATCTGCTCTGCGCTCCTTTTGGCCCAGTCGTAATTTTTCTAAGGCTTCCTTGCTCTGGATATAAAAATCATTCGTAAAATTGTAACAAAATTCATTAAGATGTACTGTAACTCATTTATTGAACAGTCGTTAGTTTGAAATAGCGGTCACGTAGTTTGATATCGCCATTATTGCATTGTTCGTTACACGTACGTGAAAGTTTTGTATTTCCCGAAAGGCTTCGTAGAGTCGATGATCCGCTTTGGGCTCAGCTTTGTTCCTGCATCACGTTGACGTTGTTTCGTTTTCTACGTTTACGTTCCGTTTTGCTGACGTGTTGTGTTGCTTTTGCGTTCGGTTCCGTTTTCCGTTCCGCACCTCGCCCGTTAATGGGATTAACAGAACAAAGGAATTCCTTCACCGTTGCCCGGGGGCGCCCAAGCGGCGCCACCCTCGCCTTCTTCTTCTCCGGCGCGTCCGGGGCTTCCAATGCCCAGTTCGCAGTCTCAATTGGCTAGCAGATTGTCGGCGCAACAGCAGCAGCCGCCGTTGAGGATGTCTGTTCCATCGACGACAGCGATGGCACAACCTGGGGCGCCTCTGCCGCCACCGACGGCGGGATCGTCCTTGAGAAACGCTCTTGAGGCGCCGGCTTCGACATTACAGGCTTCTCTACAAGTATGTCGGCGAAAAAATGGCGGTGTTGGGAGATCTTGAGAATGAAATTTGGAGAAATGGAGCAGATGGTTTTTTTTGGGTGATGGGGGGCGAGAAGCGGAAGAAACGTTCGGAATGCACGTTTCGAGCTGGAGTCTTTTATTTTTTGTCGCTCCGGGCAGATCAGCGAGAGGACCAATGATGTTGAAATGGTTTCAATCTTTTTCGACTCGCTCCTTCCCTTTCTTTACTCACACGGTGAAGCTGGTTCGTAATGACAGATGCCATCGATTTGACGACAGGAATTTTCCTGTCTATCCAATCCTCGGAGATTCTGAAGTTAATGTATTAGAAAATGTCGAGTTTGTTCTTCGTTGGACTGTTTTCCTGAACTGGTGTAGACTATCCTTTTTAATTGGAAGCGATAATTTTATAATCTGTTCTAAACTTTGATGAACTGTATTCTAGAAGAAAGAGAACGTTTGAAGGTGAAGCTTTTCGTGTTCTCGTCAAAACCGACGAAGAAGCTGCCTGTTGACGATGACTAGCAATAATATGCATTAAAATAGTTTTCCAGGTTCGACAACTTGTTTCCCAATCAGAGATTCCAAAAAGTACTGCTGTAGTCTCTGTTCTTCCATCAACTCTGAATCACCTGAAAGAAGGGAGAAACTGCTTCATGATGAAAAGTGCCGATAAAGATTTGATATCCTTTTATTTCTTCGTGCATGGTTTTCTTTTTGCATGCCTAATTTTTTTTTTTTTTTTTTTTTTTTATAATTTTTGCTTCCGTGGTTCCACGTGTAGATCGTTCAGAGTTGACGATTCTAGATGGATGGATTGTTCGCTTGGTTCATTCGGTAGTGGACACCTTGGGTGGAGGACACGGCAGGGGTGGTCATGTCATCTGGAATACTCATGTTTTTGTTCCTGTTTTTGTAGGGTTATCCGGCTGGACAAGCGAGCATGGCGCCTTCTCAGCAGGGATATTCTGGAGCCCAGGGCTACCCGCGGCCACCACCGCCGCATCACGGCGTCACAAACAACGCACAACCTTATCCCTACGGGGGACAACAGGCGACCCCGCCGCCGTCGCACGGCCAACCATACGGTGTGTGAAATACTGTAATCTCTATTCGCTGCTCATTCAAAGCCGTTCCGGTTCACCTGAAACAGAATACGTTGAAATTCTGGTGTTTGGATTTTTTTTTTTCAAGTGGAAAAAGTTCAAGGAAAAGCCGTTTCAGAGGATTTTTACGTCACTTTCAACCATCCAAGTAGAAAAAAAAAAACTCTATCTTGAATATTTCGAGAAACCACTGATTTACTTATCAGTCGTGTTCAATCAGTGTTCAAATGGTCAATGGAAGAATCTGTAGTTGACATTTTGCTTAGTGAAGAACTGCTCATCTCATTATTTCAACAGTTATGACGAAGAGGGCAATGATAAAATCGCTCTGTATAAGTAAAATCACCATTTCGAGGTTTGAAAGAGTTGAAAAATCTATCTTGCGCTGAAGAAATGCAAGAAATTATGTTTTTATGTAATGAATCGAGTGAACGATCGAGTCTTGATACGGCATCAATGCACATTTTTCGTGATTCATGTTCTAAGCAAAGACTGTAGGAGGCAGTATTCATTTACTGATTGTACAGTACTGTACCTAAAAATAATTTTTTTGTCTGAGCTTCCCTGAATTCTTCGCAAAAGATGTTCAGAATAATTTTCTAAGATAATTTCGTAATTTTTTTTTCAGATTTGACTTATTTTTTCTCATGTCCCCTTCTGTTTTTGTGATCCGATTTTAATGTGCAGTACTGTATTTGTTCGCTTTTATCCAGGCTGGCAAGGGAATTCTTCGCAGTATAGCGGTCAGTACGCGCAGTCATCTGGGTCCTGGGGTACGTCGGGCGGCGGACCGACTCGGACGCACGAGGGCCACGTTTGGACGCCGCCGACGCAGCAGCAGCAGCAACAGCCGCCGCCGTCGACTTCGTCGTCGACGCCCGGAGGACCCGTCGGAGGCCCACCAACGCTGCAACAGCAGTCAGCCATTGGAGGTCCACCTCCCCCGCCGCCTTCCAGCATTGCCTCGCCGGCGTCCCCGACGCCCGGCTACCCACCGCAGCCTGTGCATTCTCAAGCGGGCCCCCCGCTGCCCATGGCCGGCGCCGCTTATGGCGCACATCAGAGACCCGTGAGTAGTTCCCCCCAGAATTGGAGAAAAACGAGACGTATTTTCGATCAGCTCATTTGGTTGTATTATCGTGAAATATTCTGAAACTGTGCAAACCCTGTTGAGGCCATGGCCGTACGTTGTTGCAAAAATTTGAAATAGTGAAGAGGAATTATCAATGCCTTTGGATGATTCCGAATGTCCTCAACTCATTCCAGACGTACATCTGGATCAAATGAACTTTTTAAGCTGATTCAAAAAATAAAAATAAACGTGTTTTTCTATTGGAAAAGATTTGCGGTGTATTATTCAGCATGCCGAATGCGTTTGAAGTGGTCTTCATTGAAAACTAATCTACAAGATTCGGAAATATGTGTTTCGTGAACCAGGCCTTGCGTTTTACAATCCTTGATCTGGTTTTCCGAAAGTAGACGTTTTGCGATCATTGCTGAGAGACTCGATGCCAATTGTTTGATTCGAACTCCCATGTTTCGTTCATGCATCGAGACAACTTTCTTTCTCATTTTATTTTATGTTACATTTTTCGTATTTTTACCACTGCAGTACAGTACTGTACATGCCCTTTGAAGGTTGTTGCTTTATGAAATGGTTATTTTTGCTTTATGAAATGGTTACTTATCCGTGTTTCTCCGCAGCAATCGCCTCAACCCTGGGGCCCTAGAATGCCGCCTTCGCCAAGGCCAGGATTCATAGGACAGCAGCGGCCGCCGTTTAGGGACAAGCAGCCTGGAGGTTACCCTCAGCCACCCCACCTCATGCAGTCCATGCAGGGACAGCAGGGACCAAAGGCAAGTTTCCCCCTCCCTCTCTCTTGTTGAAAAGTTTCAGTTTCTGAGCAAGCTACGGCGATTTTCGAGACCTTGAAAAGATTTGAGGTTGTCATTTTGTACGCTTGCAAGAGTGAGATGTCCCTAGTTTGAGGCTGCGTTTGGCTCATGACGTGCTACGTGGTCTTAGGTTGGCGATGACAAGGAATAAAAATATCATTTTAATGGCTCACCAAGTCTTGAACGTTAAAATTGAAAGTAACACTTATTTTGCTTGCGTGGAATATTCTGGTGTATTGTGCTTTCAGATCGGATATCGACGGAAAAATATAAGATCGAAATGCTGTCCATGAATTGTTCTCAGAAAATTAACAATTATGTTTCATTGATGACAAAAGCTGCTGTAATTGTTCAGGTTTAAGAAGTAACTCCTGATTTTTTGCGAACGACATAATCTTCTTGTATTAGTATGTGGGGTTTCAGCAGTATCGTTTTCAAAGTCGGTATTCGATATTAACAAGTATTATTTGTTTTAGATGAGGAATAATTGTTGGCTAATGCAAAGTAACCGCTCTGATCGGAAATTATCCTTTTAAATAAAAATGATCGCATTCTTCAATTGAGCCTGGCAACTTTTATCGATTGGATCTGAAGAATTCGTCCGATAAATCTTTTTGAATTTATAAAAGTAATGGAAATGTTCTGAAATTGTATGCATCAAATTCTGCGGAATATTTGAATGCATTAAAATTTCTAGTTTCGAATCGATGAGGTTTGTGGCAGAGACTCAAAACAACTTAGTAAATAAGATGTAAATTGAATATTTTTTCCTAAATTTTTTGCGTGGCGTAGATGGTTGGCGGGCCAGGCATGGGTCCACCGATGGCGTACGGGCCGCCGCCGCGAAAAGAGCTGGTTTTCCCGCTGGGCTCGGTGGAGGCGGCCGTGCCGTTGACGACCCGACGGAAGCGGCTCACCAAGGCCGACGTGTCGCCCGTGGATCCCTGGCGTATCTTCCTTTCTCTGAAGTGTGGGCTCCTCGCCGAGTCCACGTGGGCCCTGGACACGCTCAACGCGCTGCTCTTTGACGACTCCACCGTCGTCTACTTTGGCCTCCAGCACATCTCGGGCCTACTCGACATCCTTCTCGACTACTACCGGCGCTCGCTCATGGAGCTCTTCGGCATTTGCTACGACCTCGAGGTAACATATTGTGATCTGCCTTGAAATACAGTGGACCGGGGGTTATCAAACTTGAAAGGTTCCTGCCAAAATTTTTTTTACTCAATTCGATTTCCCCGTAAACTTTAAAGGGGGAAGAATTTAATCCATTCCGTGAACCCAAAAGACAATTGAAGATGAATGTGAAAAATTCAAGACTATAAACTACAGTATGCTCAGAATAAGTTGTTGCTGCATCTTTTATAAGCCCAGCATCTTCTTGCATTGTCAAATGGAAGTAAAGTAGCACTGATCCAAACGGCAATAAAAAAATAGCTTCACATCCAGTGAAACACATACTGTAGGATACATATCAGATGAAAATGGAATTTTTTTATGTTGCAAGTAAAGATGTAAAGATGTACAGTGATGGACCTTTGTAACAATTGCACAACTAGAAAAATCAAGCACAGAAAAGCAAATAATTCTGTCACAGAAAATCATGTATGAATAGTGAAACTGAAACAAATTTTAAAAAGGTGGCGCTAAATCGAGGGTTGACGGTATGCCATTTAAGTAATCGCTGAGCTTCAGTAAAAGATTGTTGCGAAAGGGCATTTGGAGGAACAATGCGGGGATAGGCTTTTAATTCATCAATTGTTGGACTCTGAGCAATTTATACCAAGAAATTAAGGCGAGATCACCACGGTGTTCAGTTCTTTCTGATTAGTCTTAATCCGTCACTACATTCTGAACTATTGAGAGGCCGTCTGATTGAGAGTTTAGCAGTACATCATTTGAGTTCCTCAAGGACATTCTTTAATTTTATTCTGTGTCGTTTGTTGTTTTGTTTCTCTTTTTTCATGGTTGCTGCGTTTATCATAAATTATTGTACTGTCTATACTGTATCTACGACTTCAGTTTTTGCACTGATTCCTAAAAATAATGCGAATATTTTACTGTATTAGCCGATTAGCCGAAGAAATTCTTTTTCTAGACTCAAGAGGGACTAAAAAAATGATCTGGTGTTCTCTCTCTACATCGATTTTCTCTGTACAACGAATTCCTTTATTTCAGTCCTATTGGGTTCTTTCAAACGAATTTTTTCTGGCCGCTTGAGATTCCACTGTATTGGGCAAGCGTGTTTCGTTCAGTGAATCGTTGATGAATCAGTTATTAGCGTCAATACACGAGGATATTACGGGAAATTCATTCCTCTGTGTTTCCATTTGCGTGTGTCATGTTCGGAAAATCTATTCGGTGATCTTCCCGATTCTTGAACGGATCATGAAGGATTTTTTTTTTCTTTCAGGCGGGTATGGACCGTCAGTGCAAGCAAAAAGCGGCGCGAGCGTCGAGCCGAAAGCGTCGTTTCTCTGGTGAAGAAAGCAAGACAAAGAAAGCCAAGCAGCAGACGAGTGACGCCGTCATCGACGACGGCGACGCCGAGAAAGAAGACGCCGCCGTCAAGCCGTGGTACTTGCCCGAGTCGCGGCCAGAACCCGTCTCGGACCTTGGCGCTCCCCTCAAAGAAGACCTCTTGTCGCGTGCGGAACGCGTGCTTCGGTTCGGCGCCGTCGGCGGCAACTTCACGCGCTGCTCTCGCGACGGCAAACCCGTGAAGCTAGAACCCCGTCTGGGCACCGTTTGTGTCCGCGACGCCGTATCCGCCTGGGACACAATGGAAGGCTTTGAGGCGCCACGGGACTCCTTCTCCGTGCTCGGGCAGTCAGATACGAGTCGGCACGTGATCGTCAACTTCCGCAAAGAGCTTCCCTTCATCCCGTTCGTCCTCGCCACGGACGGAAAGACGAAAAAGAAGAAGAAGCAGCAACGCGTCAACAACAATGACAATGACGACGACGAAGCAGATGAAGAAGAAGAAGCAGAAGACGAGACGGAGGAAGGCAAGTTGGACGGCGATGAAAGGTGCATCGAGACGGAGTTCCTGTCTCGTGACTTGGGCGAAGAGTGTGATAAGGCGCCGGTGGCGAAGAATCCACCGAAGCGGAAGGAAGTGAAGCCGCGTAAGACGCTCGATGACGTACTCGCCATGATGCGCCAGGACGCCGGTTCCGCTGCCTTGGATCTGTCGAGGAAAAGTTGTGACATCAAGGAGGAAGCGGTGAACGTCGACAAGGACGACGAAAACGGCGCCGACGACGACGATGTGGAGGAGGAGGAGGAGGAAATGCCGGCGGCGGTGCAGGCGCAGGAGGAGCATGTGATAGTCTGTGATAGGATGAACGCGGTGGAAGTGAAAACTGAGAACTTGGTTGCCGAGGAGAACAGAGTCGAAGGCGGCGGCATTGCGGAAGAGGAGGAGGAGGAGGAACAACAGAAGACAGTGATGGAGGACGTGCGGGAGACGGTGGTGAACGGGCTTCGAGTGCGAGACCCCGGACGAGTGCTGAGTGGTGCTCAAGGCGAAAACGACGCGGAATACTTCCTGCCTGACGAATCGGGCTTCAATTGCGTCGAGGAAGAGCGGGAGTTCGTGATGGAACGCGCCTTTTCCGTGTCCAACATCCTGAGGAACTTGAGTTTCGTGCCAGGGAACGACGCGGAGTTGGGACGGAGTGCCCAACTGCTGCTCATTATCGGCAAGCTGTTGTTGCTGAAGCACGAGCACCACGAAGACGAGCGTTTCGTGACGTCGAGCTCGGGCTCGAAGACGAGGCGGTGGCGGAAGCAGAATGTTGGTGGTGGTGGTGGTGGTGATAACGTCGAAGCGACGGCAGTTGAACAGTCGTTATCAGCACTGGATGACGAACAACGACGGCCAGACAAGGACGGAGACGAGGAGCAGGTGTCCAAGTCGACAGGCGACAAAGAACAAGATGAGCCGCAAAACGAACAGAATGATGAATCCTCAACAGCCAATAACAGGTGAGCTTCCGAAAGAAAGTCGTTGTTTCATTCGACGCTGGTTCTAAAACCCGATTTATCTTTTGAATATATAGTCGAACCTCTTTGATTCGAACTTCGAATGACCAACAAATATATTTGACTTCGGGAAAAAACAATTTCTTTTGGGGGGGGGGGGAACGTATCAGAACTACAGAAAATTGTAATTGGTGATATTCTAGGCCACAAATGTCGTCTCAAATGAGTTGACACGATGCTGAACTTGGAGGCAAGGGTTTATTTGCACGATTTGCATTTCACGTCCTTTCAAAACAAATCAAATTAAATGTGTATTGCTGTTCTCTTTCTTGTGTCAGTAAAATAATAACCGGAAGGCCTACAGAAGATTCGAGTTAAGGTTTGAGATGAAAAGTTCTTGAATAGAGGAGATTTTGATGCTTTGTTTCTGAGTTGATGAAGACGAGAACTTGGAAAAAATTCTGACATGAGGAGGTTCAAGTTTAAAATATTGTCTACTAATGGAATTTCTTTTGTGTCTGGAAGGCTGGTCCCCTTTTTTATTTGATGAGCCACCATTGCTAATTTAATCATTTATGCATTGCTGTTATTGAAGATAATGCTGATGTGATTTATTCGTGAAACTTCCTAATCTTTTTTATATATTTTTTTGCTTATGTCGCATACTTCACGTGACTTGATCCAACTCTAGTATAGTAATGTGAACTGACAGGTTGAAGTTCAGATGTGGTTCTTCAGAATTGAGGGTGGATGTGAAAGTACAGGAACTGTGCAATAGGGCAGATTTGACGACCGAGAATAAATACTGTATATCTGGAACAAAGGGGGTTTAAGACAGATACCTTGAATGTTTCTGGGTATTATTGCAGCACTGCGAAGGGATCCACGACGGCCGGGCCTGGGCTGGACGACGACTTCCGGAGCGGCGAGAACGCCGCCCCCTGGTGGAACGACGAAGAGAAGAACGTGTGGTGGCGCGAAGCGGTGCAGACGTTGCGCGAAAACGCGCTCGTGGTGCTGGCCAATGTTGCCGGTGCCTTGGACCTGAGCGTGTGGCCCGAGCCCGTGTGTCGTCCGCTGCTCGATGCCCTGCTTCATTGGACGGCGTGCGAGTCGGCCGAGGCGCAGGATCCGTTCCCCGGTGGCGGCGGTGGTAGCAGTGGACAACCGCTGAGTCCTCAGCGATTGGCGTTGGAGACGTTGGTGAAGCTCTGCGTCCGACCGGGCAACGTGGACCTGGTGTTGGCGACGCCGCCGACGTCGCGCCTCGGCAAGATTGCGGCGCAACTCACGCGTTGGCTCGCCAGGGCGTACGACCAGGTACGTTCGCGTGTTTTGACGACGACGACAGTCGTGAAGGGGCATGATCGTCTTCGATTCACATATTTCTGGCCGATCTGACTATCAAATTGTGTATACAATATTTTTGTACTGGAAAGCATGACCGGTAGAAAAAACAACCGATGGAAGTCTTTCTCTCGATCAATCAAAAGTTCAGTCAAATCAAATGTTTAACGTATATACAGATTTCGGTGAATTGTTACCTTGTGAGTTGGGACGTTTGAAATACATCCCTTTCCTTTTAACTAAAATGGATTTCTGTCTGCATTGTAATATAATGCTCTGTGATGTAATCTTTAATGTTTTGTGTTGGTGAACGAATGCTGTATTTCATTTTGTCAAAGTGAATGAGTTTTGGTGTTGAACCACACTTCTATGAGATGTTCATACAATTTCTGACTTACGGCACTTCTGAATTTACTTGCGTTGTAAAAATAGATCGCTGTGCCATCGGAAATTGGGTAATCGGTGTGAGGGATCCTCCTGTTTTTGTCGACATTGATAGTTAAATGAGCGAATGTGGGTAGATGTCGTTGCCAATCGGAAGTACGATTTCACGGGGAACAGGCAAAATTCGGACCGCGCTGATCCCGAAGCCGCGCATCGCCTGTCTTTCCTTGGATGGAAATTCCCCCATACAAATTCTGGAAAAGGTTTACAGTAACATTACGCAATATGTTTTTTCCCTCGGTTTATTCACTGTAAGGTTAGGTTATGTTGAATGAGGTTAGGTTAAATTTGGTTAGGTTAGGTTCAATTCAATTAGGTTGGGTTAAATTCAATTAGGTTGGGCTAAATTCAGTTAGGTTAGGTCAGGTTATGTTAGGTCTGGTTAGGTTTTACTAACCTGACCTACAGTAATTTTAATGTAAACCTTTTTCATATGTACGGGGAATGTCCATCCAAGGAAAGACAGGTGATGCGCGGCTTCGGGATCAGTGTGGGTGGGATGTGTAGGGTGCCCATTTCACGCGTAGAACCTAGCTGCATCTATAGTAGGAGTGGCAAAGTAATGGTACGGGTGGACTCTCTTGGAAACGAAATGTAAGGGACCAACAAAAAAAATTGGTTTCTTACGAATCCATATAACATGCCGAAAGAAACGTGCGGGGCCAAGAATAAATCTTTTATTCAGAGAAAATCGTTGTAGACAAGATCATTGTAGAGGGGGTAGTATGTCCACCTGTTGTATGTACTGTACTGTGTTCAATATCCAGGAGGAAATTTGAACATAAGATGGAATGATGTGTAAAGTAAGCGGAAGGCATTAAATTGATGCGAGTATTTTTGAAAAATTTGAAGTAAGCACGCTCAGTCTTGTGTCTTCAATCCGAGTCGGGGTCACGCCTATTCAAGCCAACCTTTTTGTCCTGTAAGTGTTGATAAACAGAAATGATCGCCCGAATAGGTAAAAATCAACACAATTTTGAGGAATCAGCCCTGATGAAGAATCGTGAGAAATATCGATTCGAAGTCTGGATTTGAAGCCAATCGAAAAAAAAAAACAAAGCGCTGCAATTCTTTTCATTTTGCTTCTCGTTTTTCAGGTGTTGCGTGAGTTCAGTCTGAATCTGATCACCGCCTGGACGGACTCGGACGCGGGACTGTGTCGGCTGTTTGGGATGCAGCCGGGATGCGTGGCCCTGTTGCTCGCCTTCCTGGAGCAGGCCGAGTCTATGGCGTTGAGTATTGCTCAGAGTCACGGCGCCGCTGTGCTCAGGGACAACCCTGAAGCCATGGGCACGTCCGTCGACATGCTGCGACGGGCGGCGAGGTCACTGCACAACATTTCCATGGTAAGACTTGGTCCTTCTGCGAGAGGAGAGGGAGAAGAAAAAGTCAGGGAAAGACTGGTTGTCACTCGAATCAGCAGAGTACTGTACAGGGAGGACCAAAAAATAGTGAACCGGTTTTTGAATAAATAAATAAAATAAAACAAAATTAAAGCTGGTTAATTATTAAATACTGTACTTGAATTCCCTTTCGAGTGGTATATACAGTAGTTTTATGGTCACAAGAACCATTTGAATGAAAACTTTCCCGAGAAAAAATCTAGTGAAAAGGAAATAATTGTAAGATTTTTGAGGTCCGTCCAGTGTAAGGTGGAGCGTAAGGTTTTCGTGTCGGATCAAAATCTTGCTTTTTCTATGCCAATTTTACGTCGTTTGTTCGAGGTGACATGGATATTTTCTCAGGGAATGGATTTTCTTTTATGATACATGACGATTTCGGAATCGAATCAGTTCGTGCAGCACTTACTTTCAGGGACAAGATGATTTAATTTTTTTTTTTTGTTGAGCAGGTGTCGGAGAACTTGTCGATATTGGCTCAGCACGAGACGAGAATACTGAGCTTGTCAATGACAACTATCCTGGACGTTGAAGTTACATCCATGCTCACCAACGTCCTGTTCAACATCTCCGAAGGCAGCCACCATTCCCTACAGTCCCATTGACGCCAACCCGGCTCAATCTCCGAGAGGGATTAAAAACGAAGTGCATCATTCCATTTTTCTTTTAGGCCAAGATCGAATCCAGGCCTTGAGATTACAGGGGAAGCGGGGGGGTTGTGCGTGTGAAGCTTGAGAAGTAGGAAAACAGCTATTACCGGTATTTTATTTAATTTTTCGGCGTATTGTTCATGATGATTAATTGCCGCTTTTTTGCTTTCTCGGAAAAAGAAAAAAGGGGGAGTAGAGGGTATCTTTTGCGGCCAAACCGTCAGCTGTGCACTAGAACACGTTTTGTTTTCCATTTGGACACGCGGCAGATTGCGTTTTTATTTCCCCTCTTTTATTTTCTGTCAGATTCAGTGTCTGCTTCGTAATGATTTGACGAACGTCGATGATGATAGAGTTTGAATTTCGTTGTTGCTCCGCATTTGTTTTCCTGTTTCTCATGCGCAGTCTTTCGTGTGGAGACGGAAGAGACGAGGGGCCTGGAGGTCCTTGTGGTTAATTTATTTCGGATGTTTTTTACGCGTTATTTGGGAAGTGAAGTGAAGATTATGGCGAGGGATGGACCGCGTGGCAGAAGAAGGTCTTGTGAGTTCTTTGGATCTATGGGAAGTCGCGGCGGTCCCTCTTTTTCCTTTTTATTTGCGGGAAGAGTTGCAGATCACTGGCCTTTTTTTTGTTTTGTGTGTGCGCTGGCGCGGGTATTCCAAAATTTTTCTTGTGACCAGGCCGAAGTATAGAACATGGGGAATCGGACGCGGAGATACTGACGACGATTGCTCTGGATTTTCATGCGGATTTGTGTCTAGAAATGGGTCCGTTGTTTCATATGCGGAGATTGATGATGAAGAGATGGAACGTTACGTGTTTTGTTTTGTTGGTTTTTTTTTCAGTTTCCCCTCAATGTTCGCTCTCGTCTTGGCACGAGAAAACAGTGAAGAAAAAAAAAGAATAAATGTACAGTTTTAACTTGGAATTGTGGCGATTTATTTCCGGTTATGCTGTGATGGAATAATTCAGCGGGAGTGGAATCCGAAGTGTCAAAGTCAACCACTAGAAAAACGAAGAATTTGAAGCACAATATATAAAGTAATTGATTTGTATTGCATGTTATTCAGGCACATGGGAATTCAAACATTTAACCAAGAAACAGTTGAAGTTGGATAGAACTTGATGCCTTGTCAAATTGCTCCATGTTTCGTGATCAAGTTTTTGTAAATACTGTATCTTCATCCCAAAAAAACCAGTTTTCGAGCAATCAAGTTTTTTTTCTCCAGATAATGTTTTGCTATTTCCTCTTACCTTTTCTTCATGCATTAAGAAGAACCAAGGATAAATTAATCATATTAATGTGCTAACTGGATACCAAATTCTTGATTTTCACCCTGGAAAGTCATCTCTAAGCCCCTTCTGTTCAGCTTTCTCGATGGTAACCGTTTTTCAACTAAAGCAAAGAACTCACATTACTGTACTGACCAAATTCAGAGGGACCCACAAAGAATTTGACTTATCGCATTTTGAGTTGAGAAAACCTGCATTCTTTTGTTGAAAATTAATTGCAGTCCATGAGGTAACATTATCCTAGATCTTAATATCCTGATGGTTGCATGAGTTAACAGGATGCTGTCTCCAATTCCTATTATATAGGAACATTTACCCAATTAGTGGACCACTTCCTTCTGAGAAGCATAAATTGTATTGGTCAAATTTTTATTTTCTAGGACAAAGGAGACAAGCGTATGTACAGTATATGTACCTTTTTTGAAGGTCTTTGAAAGGAGATGGTTGACGAATAGGACATTCATTCCCTTGAATATAGGTAAATTCAGTTACAAAAATGCAAAAAAACATTTAAAAAGAAAATAATAACTTCTGCTGGAAATTCTTCACAAAGTCTACCATGCCTGGAAGTATAAAAGAAATGAAAAATGACTTCTAAGTTGACATTTCAAGCTACCTGTTCTCCACCCATTCACATGAATTTTAAAACTTTATTTTAAATTTTGAGGTTTTCAAGAAAAATCAGAGACAAAAATCAAAACTCAAGAAAGAAATAAAAGTCCCTGGGACTATTTTGTAATGAGATTTTACTGTGTACTGTACAGTATATACCTTGTAATTGAAACTTTTATTTAAATGGAATTGGAGAAATCTCAACAATGCTCCTGAACATTAAAAATGAAATACTATAATGATATGCAAAATAATTAAATGCTTCTGTAGTCAAACCCCCTTAAACCACCAACATGTGTGCTGACTGCAGCCTGAATTTGGCGGTTTAATGAAGGGTAGCGCATCTATCTGCAGGGCGAGGGTGGTGGATTGGCAAGAGACAATCAGGGTGGCGGTTTAGTGGGGGTGGCAGCATGAACCTTCCCCCAAAGAAACAAGAACAATAAGGGAAGGTTTTAAAAAAAAAGGAAAACAGGAAGTTTCATGAGAAAATCTTTGTGGTTTCTCATGAAACTTCCAAATACTGTATAACTGGACAACTTGGCATATTCATCTTTGCAACAAATCTTGGTGTTTTCTGAAGAATTTACAGTTTATCATGGAGGAAAAACTAAGGACAGAAACCTGTTTTTGGGGGGTTTGACTATACAGGTGGTATCTTGCAATTTGACTCTTAATCCATTGCCAACAGGGCTGAATTAAACCCCATTCTGGCCTGATGCTGGGCAAAAACTGGGCCTAATATTTTCTTGTAAAAAGGAAATGTGAATTTTTCATCAAACGATTAAAAAATATAATTTGTAGAGAGCAAAGGATATCTGAGGCTAGAATTTAACCAAACATAGATAAGGTCAAATTATTCCATCACAATGAATCTCATAACAATACATTTTTCTTATCAATTTTTCATGGTCCTGGCAGTTTCTCCAGAGGCACCATGTTCTAGAAATCTCATTTTTATTAACTCATTTTAGATTGTCATCTCATTATGATAAAACTCTGGGCCTTGATTTGTGCATAGACTGTATAGCAATTATTTCATAAATGATAGAAGGAATGAAACAAATTTAAAGGTCCAATTTCTTGAAGGACATATAAAGATTTTGGTTGAGAAGGCTAGGTGTTCAAAAAATGCACAACATGGTATACATCTTGGAAATTCTTTGACTACATTTTAAATTGTATGCCTTTCTTTCAAGTAAACAGTATACAGTTCTAGAAGATATGTTCCTCTATTTGAATGAACAGACAGGTGTGAGCAAATAAAGTGACTCAGAAGGAAGTAAAGAATGTATACTAAGTACAAAGGCAGGTTCAATGAAATGCAATAACTATTTCTTTCAGAACTTTTTTCTGCATTTTGTCAAAATGCTTACAATTTGTAACAGGTCTTGATTTAGCTGTTTCAGATGTACAAACTATGGCCCCTTTTCCAATGAAGTTGAGTCTGAAATATGTCAAAACCAATAATCAAAAAACTCCAAAATTATACTCCATATGTATATGCTTCAACATGAAACTCAGTGCATTTGAGAGTTAATTTGATGTGTCTGGTTAAGAATGGGCACAATAATATCAGTTGTTCCACTTATGACACAAAAGATTTACATAATCAAACAAATGCATGATGATTAAGTATATGATGCCAGTGTGAAACAGAAATTTTTCATCATAATTTTGAGTGTATCTTGGATGGCACAGCATGTAAAAATTTCATCCACATATTCCATTTATTCAAAAATTCAGCAAATTTTAACTCTTGTGTGGCTAACTTGGGATATTTAAAAAAATACTGTGCCCATAAGCACTCTGAAAAAAACACTGCATTTCTGAATGAACACCAAGGCAAGAGAAAAGTATAATATTTTTTTCTAATCCTGCCAACATTTTTGAGAAAGATTTAGGAATCTTCTTAAGTTTCTCAGTGGTATCATTAACCCTTGGGCGGCTAAGTCAGACTTTTCTGGGGGAATTTGCTTGCACCCCAGGTGGAAGAAAAAAAAATGAAGACAGTGTGAGGAGGGCGAAGTCAGGAAAAATCCTGGCATTTTTTTCTACTTGCACAGAAAAGTTTTGCCTGAAAATAAAAAAACACTCCTTCAATTTTTTTTCTTATCCCCCTGCTGCTGTGCTTCTCAGACCTGAAGATCCTAGCCAAAAGAAATCACATGAGGTGCATCAAGTCAGGCAGAAATGGATAATTCAGACTGAAAATTCCACAGCTCATCCAAAATCCTCTTAATTTTTTCCACCTTCTGTGTACCAAAAAATCTCTACTTTCATTGAAAAATAATGTTATGAGGAAGAACCTTGAGAAACACTCTGAAGAAGGCTTAGAAAGCCTGGGAAAATTAGCTTTGGGGAATAAGCTGAAGTGGAACAAATTATTGTAATTTTTCACACTGTCTGCTGATGGCCTGAAAATCTTATGAAAAGCTCCCAACAAATTCAAAAACATTTAAAAGTGAAAATAGTGAGGCTTCAAGCTGAGGGAGGATGAGACAAGGTCAGAACTGTGAAAGTCAGAAAAAGTCCAACTTTTGACAATTGCAGCAACTGCCTTTTGGATAAACCCTGGCTTTGCCTCACCCAACCTGGGGGCACTTTTCTGACCTTCAGAAAACCAAAAACAGGGGAGCACACAAAAAAGTCTGACTCCGTCCTGTGATGGAAAGGACCCTTCTGCCATCCAAGGGTTATAAAAACTTGCAGTGTCTATACATTAGAATGTAGTGAGACTGAGAGGCTCCATAAAGAAAACCAAGAGATATAACATTCAGCAACTTATAAATGTGTCAATTACCCCCAAAATGTTTATACAATTGAATTGAAACCTTTGATATATTGGATTTTCTCCTCCCATGATATGTTGTATAGACTACATAGAGCAATGTGGAAGAACTAGAAAATATATATTGAAACTATGGATTTTCTTATATTGAAAACTGGCAAGATAAAGACTGATTTTCCAAACACAAGATAAACAGGCATATGTGCAGAATAATGAACTCACTTTGCCAAGCTCCTGCTCCTGAAAGTCATTGTAGAAAATATGGCCCAGCCAAGATTGCCTTGGTCAAGCCATATAGTGTTCAAAAAAGCATATCCCCTTCAAAAAAGGGACACTGGCATTCATGGAACCCAGGGCAACAATGTTTAAGTGGTGGGTGTTTTTCCAAGGAGGCATGATAGGGAATGGGTTGATTAAAATTGTTTTTTTACATCACAAGTGTTAATAAATTACTGACGTTTCAAAAATGAAAAATCATAATTTTCTAAACACCAAGAAATCACTTCAGAAGATTTTTGAGGCCACAAAAGGCATTCAAAGTGGGGACATGGGTGACAATTTTATCCTGCTGCAAGTGGCATCATGGATTGAATTAAAACCTTGGATTTGATTTTCACCTCCCATGATTTGTTGGCAACATGTCTTCCTGTTTCTGGCCATTGGCCTTGATTTAACTTCAATGCAGGAATGATTGTTTGCTCTCAAACATGTCCTTGATCTGGTTTCCTCTTCACTGCTTTTCATTTATGCTGGAAATGATTGATACCTGCTTTTTGAAATCATAAATACTTTTGTCTCTCTTCTGTTTTTGCAGGGTTTTCATAATTTTTAAAAAGTTGGTATTCCCCAGCTGGGGAATTTTCATTTGAAATTCCCAAGCTTGGGTTATTCTCCAGAGGCCTATCTTCCTTGTGCTGGGCCTTAAGCTGTAGCAGCAATAGCACCCAGCTTGATCTGGCCCTGCTCCAACCCTCTTATTCAGCTCCAAACCTCTTCAGCTCCAAACCTCTTCAGCTCCAAACCTCTTCAGCTCCAAAACTCTTCAGCTCCAAACCTCTTCAGCTCCAAACCTCTTCAGCTCCAAACCTTGTTCAAAAAATTTGAAGCTACCTATCCCTTCAGTTCAAAACCATGGCCAACCCCTTGCAGCTCCAAACCTCTTCAGCCCCAAACCTTTCATAATGTCTGAACAGTTTTCATAATTTCAGGGTTTTAATAATTTTCAAAAAGTT